GAACTTCTCTATTAGGATTGCTAATGGAAAATGACAGTACCTACGACTACCGGTTTCGCGATAGGGGCGCCCTTTTCGTCGGACAACGCTCTATAGTTCATGTCACCGTTCTTTAGGTGTTTCACCGTGGATGGATCATTAAAAGTAGAGTTCCTTGATGTTTTTGACCCTGTTGTTTTGTCGTTTTTGTATAATTAGAGTACGGACACTATGACAAGCACTCACAATCAGACATAACCAAAAATTAATTGATAGAAAAAGCGGGAACTGACAGTACACGAACGTACATGACATTAATTTCAAAGGTTTGTCAAATTGAGAAATTTGTGAAAAGCTTTTTCCAACTGTCAACATTTTGTGAAACATAGTCACTTTGTGGGACTCTGGTGTACCTATTTAAGAAATGGATTGTTTGTGTATCGCTTCCTTCAATGTTGAAATTCCAAGTGTTACATCTTGTAGATGTTTATATGTTTCATACAAAGTTTGATTTCCAGATTGACATTGTGAAAAAAGATGAATGTTGTAAAAATAAAAGATAAGATTTGGATTGAACTTGTCAAAAAATACGATTTTTATTAGAAATACGTGTTTCACTGAAATTGATATTGAAACGAAACAACAGTTGGTCCTTCCGAGTCGGATACGATAATCAAGCGATGGAAAACCTAAGGAAAAGTACGAGAAATGGAGTAGGTATCAACAGAAGTTTGTCCATGAATTATGTCTGACCTAGCGGATTTGGTAGAAAGCAAAAAGAAGGTGTGGAAAGTCGAAAGGAAACATCTTCTAACTACCGTGACAAAATCCACGAAGATAGCAGGTCAGTAGTGACGAATTTCAGTTACGGTGCGGTCCATGTTGATGAAAATAGTCTCTGTATATCCCGGTGTTAACTGTCATATTCGTGTTGCCGATGATGAAAAAATATTTATAAATGTCAAGACAAAACAAATCCCGATGCGAGCAAATTTTAACAATGCCAGTAGCTACCAGATCATATTGAAATAATCATTTTTTTATTCAAAAATATCAAAGGGAAATTTTGTCTTCTTCCCTGATCTCATGGAATTCAGAGAACAAGTTAAAACGAAAAGTAACGATGACATCCGGAAGCCGCTGAGGCGAGGTTCAAGAATTCAGGATACCAAAAAAATAAATGAACAAGCCCACATGTTTCCTTCAAGACAATGATAGAGAAAGCATCTCTATATCTTTTATTTCTCTGAGATACCTACCTATTAATTGTAATGCTTGAGTAATGTGCAAACACACAGAATAATTACCTATTGTAATTTTTCCTATACAAATGTACAATTTCAAGATTGATTTTGCAGATATGAGCACCAGCTTTGAATACAACTAATTCTGCAAAAAGTCTCATGTTATCGCCAACTTAGTCCAACATAGTAAAAATTCTTAATTAAATCGTAATCTTCACAGGGGTCGGCATAACTCAGTTATGTAATTTGCATAAGGGAAAAAGAAGAGAAAACGTAACAGACTGAAATGAACGTATAATTCTAGATAGCGGGAACTGACTTAAGCCGACCTGTATAAGCTGAACACAGCAAAAAACAAGAGATATAAATGTCAATTGATCTTGTAGACAGCGGAAAAAGACATTTTGAAATGGATATGAACTAATGGAACTCACGAAAACTAGTATTTTATGCAACAATCATGTGATGATAGCTATTAATACAGGAGCACCGTAAGTTATGAAACGAGCAAAAGGCAAGTGTTGTAAACCGTGTGCGAGTGTATAGATAGCCATTACTAGGGTTCCTTGATGGAAATTGACGTTAAAGTCATCTTAACAGGGTATAGCTGCATTCTTTTTTAATGATCTAGAGATTTTAGTTTTGTCTACTGGCATCCCTGACATTGCTGTCACGTCACATACATGGGCGCTACAGAAAATCATTCAAAATTTCAATAATAGGTATGTACAGGGTATTTACTTTTTGAGGAAGATCATGGCGAACGAGTTTTGTAATGAAGATCCGATTCTATTCAAAATTGCTATCTGGGGAGTTTCGGGGTATGAGATAATGATGGTTTCGTCAAAATTGAAAAATTCAAGATGACGGATCCAATATGGCGAAAGACAGCATTATTTTATAAAATTATTACTTAACTACAAATAGAAGTATATGTAGGATGCAATAGTGAAAATAACGTGCCTATAAGTTATACTGCCTATACTTAGCGTATACCTACTTCTTTGTTACTTTCATCAATAAATTATTCGAAAATGACTTTTTATTTAGAAGAGACGGAAAAATCATGTGTATAACATGGGGGTGAAGTAAATTCTATTTTTCATTTTCCTGCACATTTTACTTATCAATTTTTATCAGCCTACTTTTCGCCCTAGACGAAGTTTTATACATGGTGATAAATTCTTCTCCGACTTGGATTTCTGAAAATATATTTACCACACATGATATGAGTACAGTAGTCTAGATACCCACATCGAGGTTTCCACTAGTTCTCAATCATAAGGCTCAGCTCATTCAGCTCATAGATAAACTACTGCTCAGCTTGAAATCAGAAATCCTTCAGTCAATTCAGTCAACCCTGGTTTACAGTCTCTTTTGGTGAAATATATTAAGCTTTCAGTACAATTTATATGTTCCCTAAATCGCGAAGATTATGCTGGAGTAGTAAACTCTAAAACTAGAGGATTATTCATCTATATCTTGATATAGTTGAATCAGGAATTCCATATGGAAATTACGTATGATACGCCAGTGACCTCAATATAACCTGAAAAACAAGGAGTGTCAAAAATCTAGTGTTTATCCCCAGAATTGAATAAGGATGGAACTATATAACTGTTTCACAAACACTTTAGAGAGAGAGGAGACGAGGATCTGTCCGTACCCTGTTAAGATGACTTTAACGTCAATTTCCATCAAGGGACCCTAGCCATTACATGATTGTTGCACTATTTTTTCTACGACCAATAAATTGGGAATGAGAAAAAATGGAGAAGAAGAATACAAAAAAGGTTAGAATGGTCTTCTGCATTTCTTCTCATTTCCATAACATTTTCACTATTTTATGTTGGAACACTGAAGACAAGGACAGATGGGGAGGACATCTTTTTTTCTCTCTCAACGCTAGCTGAACTGCTCTATGAACATTGGATCCATATAGCTCAGTAAAACGGTACCGATTAGGACCCAATCCGGGAAAAAATTCAGGTAGTCGGTTTCTCTGTGGTTTTTTATGTTATTGTAGGTGCTGCATTCGAATCTGAATTTTGCAAACAAAATTTCCTGGAGACTTCTGAGATATTAGCAAAAAACAGCGAAATTCTCGCACTTTTATCATTTTTTTGTCCGTAACTCGCAAATCATACATTATATCAAAAAGATCGTCCTATAAAAAGTTGAAGTAGATAAAATTTCCTAGATACAATAAAATTGTTCTTGCTCATGAGTGTAGGACTGAAGGGTGCGGAGATGGAGCCAGTTGAAAATTGATCAAAATTGGGTACTTTCCAAAAAATAGCGTTTCTCGTCGGTTTTCGCAGATAATTCATATTTCACGTATTACTCAGAGACATAGCATCATGTACATAGATGTACATATTGAGAGAGCATCAAATTTCCTACTGATCTCATGTAAAGTTCGTCACTATGAAAAAAGATGAACGGCTGTTAGAACGCTCGGACTTGGAGACGTCTTCTAGTCGTTAAAACTCTAAAACGTATAAATAGGTCATTGTTTTGTTTTTGAATTATGTGGGGTGGGGGACAAAAAAAATTCTGTACGCTGGAATTAGTTGTTATAATTGCGATACAATAATTCCAAATGCTATAGGGTATTCTTTGAACATTTTGATAAAAAACTGATAAAATATTCAAACTATCAAAATTAGCTATTTTGTGATGAATGCGTATTAGAATTAATTCTCACTCATGTGGGTTCCAAGGCGTCAAGGAAATGAGCAAAAAAGTGCATAGCTCACATTTTACCTTTCTGTGAGACAAGCAAATGCATTCTGAATTTGATTCAATAACTCACACAAACTTATTCGACAAAAAAAAACAATATTGGCCTTCCCGCAAACTTCATGAATCTCAATTGAAGTCATCCTCTTGAAAAGCACTGCCTTCCCATCATTCCTCTTGCTGGTTTCAATCAACGTTTGCAAACCTCTCTCCTTCACCACTCTTGTAGGCCTTCCATCCTCCGAACATCCATCACATATCAGTCACTGGCGATCTGACATATTCGACCACAGGAAAATAGCTTGAATATGAAACTCAACCAAAAGAAGAAAATAAAACGGAAAGAACTGAACTTTAACTTTCGTATTTTGAAATCCCAGTGAGGCAGGTTTATAACAAGCATTCGCCGTAAATTCGAAGATAGCCGAGAGTGAAGGAAACTCTTCTAACTATATTTTCTCCAAATGTCTGATATTTCTGATATTCGTTGCTAGAAAACTTGATTTTTCTACTCCGTTAACGAATAACGAGAGGCAGGTAAGAAAAACAATATTCTTCCTAGTTGATGTGAATATACTTAAGTACATTGACAAGGCGAGAGTCATGAGTTACATGCTGACAGAGGTAAGAATTCACATGGCTAGGACTCTTCCACATGAGGCAGTATAGTTCGTTTCTTCGAAGAATGCGTAGATTTGAGATTATGTGCGAAAACCGACGAAAAAGTACGCAAATTTGGTCAATTTTCAACTGGCTCTATCTCCGCACTCGTTAGTCCTACATTCAAGAGCAATAACCGAAAAAGTCCGAAAATTTTGCTGTTTTTTGCGAATATCTCGGAACGCTCCAGGAAATTTTGTTTGCAAAATTGAGATTCGTATTCAGCACCTCCAAAAACATATGAAACCACAGAGAAACCGACTACTTGAGTTTTTCCCAAGTGAAGAATGTTCATCTTCATTTCAAAATTTGATGTTGAAATGGCCCTAGGCTCTTCCCTCAACCACCACGAACGGTGACACGAACCAAACCCCTCTACACTCGAATAAAATAAATTAGCTCTTGCCGCCCGCGTAGCGCGGGGCCCGCCCGGCCGCCCCCCATCACGCCTTCCAGTTGTGGCGCTGCGGTGGCGCGGGCGGAATCATGTCGAGCAGGTATTGGCGGTGCAGGTCGGCCGCCCGCTGCAGCTCGGCCAGGTTGGAGGCGGGGCCCGACTTGCCGCCCGTGGCAGCCGCCGCCTGCGCCTGCGCCATGGCCAGCTGGTAGGGGTAGAGGAGTGGCGAGAACTGGAGCATGTGGGCGGCAGCGGCGGCGGGAGGGACGCCGCTCGAGAGACCTGAGGAGGCACGAGGCGTATACACTGTGTCCAAGATAAGGAGGGCCAGTATGGGGATATTCTAAACTTTAAGAGATACAGTTTTGGTTGAATGGGAAAAAAGTTGTGCAATCAAAACAAAATACCAACCATGCGACTCTTTGTTTTTGAGTTATTTTGAAAAAACAAATTTTTCGGGTTTTCGATATTATTTTTTTCTGACGTTATTAGTCAGGTTGGAACAAATCCGTTGCAACATCTTCACAGCAACTTTTGATGAATTCCAATAGGGCATCCTCAATTTCGGTATCAAAAGTTTCGTCTTCGCGCAACTATCATCAACTTCATTTTTTCAAATACGGTCCTGAATTCAAAATTTCAAAATTGAGAAGCACTTTTCATCCTGAATTCAACGATGTACTACACATTATGTTTCGATTGCATTTTGAGTCATCAGTTTTGACCATTATCAGGAAATGTTAAGAGATTCGAACCTGTTTCCATGAGCTTTTTAAACTCTCGTACTTGAGGGGACATTGTTTCTTGATTTTCTTACTTCAGGTACTGTCATAAAACCATTTCTAATTAACTGATGAAGATTATTTGTATCCCACAGCACAACAACTTGAATTTGCAAGATTATTTCTTGAACCGTTACAAGAATTTTATAAATGAGTGTTCATTGCTATCAACACAAAAATTAGGCTTTGAAAAAGAAGTGAATATGATTGTTGTTGATTGTTAGTTTGACATTTACTTCGACATCGGTCTTTCAAAGTTCTCGTTGAGTTACTCCTATTAGCTGTTATAAATCAAATATCAATAGCAGAATATCCCGCACTGTGTGGCGTCGGTGTGTTTGAAGTTCCCTTTGAAATTACTGCAGGTGCGGCACGAGACTCTGCAATTGTTTTTGGATAAACTTATACTTAGACATCTAGAATATCAAACATTTCCTGATAATGGTCAAAACTGACTCAAAACGCAATCAAAACCTTATGTGTAGTACATCGTTGAATTCGGAATGTAAAGGGCTTCTCAAATTTGACATTTTGAAATCAGGACCATTGAAAAAATGAAGTTGATGATGGTTGCGCGAAGACAAAACGTTTGATTGCGAAATTGATGATGCCATATTGGAATTCATCAAAAGTTGCTGTGAAGATGTTGCAACAGATTTGGTCCAACCTGACTAATAACGTCAGAAAAAAATAATATCGAAAACCCGAAAAACCAGTTTTTTCAAAATAACTCAAAAACGAAGAGTCGCATCTCGGATTTCTTGATATCACCACATATCACATTGTTGGTCTTTTGATTGCACAATTTTTTTTCCATTTAACCAAAGCCGTATCTCTTATAGTTTAGAATATCCCCATACTGGCCCTCCTTATCTTGGACACAGTGTACACTCACCGGCAAAAAAAACTGGCCACCAAAAAATTTAGGCAAGTTGTTCGCCCTGTTACTTTTTTAATTCTTGTCCAATTTTGGTGAAATTTCGACCAAATCGTATATCGTATTTCAGAATGTTGGCCTGAATATTAGTACGCAAGAAAAGCTGATGGCCTGATCATTATACAGGGAAAAACAAAAGTCACTCTTTCACCCCCAACTTCTCAACACCCCGTGGCAAAGGTACAGTCGCATTCAAAACAAAAAGCGTACAAGTATATTACAGAGGGAAATTAACGTCATCCTATTCTGCATGAAACGGGCTATCGGGAATGATTGTTCACCAAATGTTGACAGTAAAGTTGTCATAGGTTCTCGAAAACACAAAGCATTCGCTGAGCCAGTTTTACATAACTAGAACTAGGATCCCGAAATCCTCTCTTTTTAATACTTGTACGCTTTTTTATTGAATACGACTGTAAGTGGTTGAACTTAGCTTCATCATGTTTTTGATTGATGTGTGATCCCTTCTTAACATAATGGTTTTTGATTCTCGTTGATAACTACTTTTCAAGGAAAGAAAGGGTTTTAGAAATTATGGATTTTTCGATTTTTATTGACAATAGTTTAGAACCATTCTCCAACCTTCTGCTTCATCATGTTTCAAATTGAAGTACGATCCTATTTCGTCTTTTCTTGACACAATAGTTCTAGATTCACGGATATATCTTAGTTTCAAGAGAACATAACAAGTGTTATAAGAAAGTTTGGAATATTTTTTATAAACAATAATTCAGAACCAATAGAGCATCTTAGGGATGAACTTCAGAGACTCATTCATCTTCGTCCGGCCTTGTCAGAGACTCTTCAAGAGCTATGATTCGTCCTTCAAGGAAAGTTTAGGCAATTCTTCATGACTACTTGAGAAATTTGATCAACTCGATGCCACGGCGTTTGAATGCTGTAATGAGTTAAAAAAAGTGATATTAATTTCCTAAGCTGTTAATCAATAAGTATATCTAGGTTCTGATTATTTTTAATAAGAATTGAAAAATGTCATACTTTCCGAAAACACTCGTATCTTCTTTTAAAAATAAGATCATGACAAGTATCAAACACTATTGTGTCAATAAAGGATCACTTCAATCCAAAACATGATGAATCCAAGTTAAACCACTCAATTTTGCCACAGGGCGTTAAGAAGTTGAGGGCAAACGCGTAAATTTGGTTCTTCCCTGTATAATGATAATGATCAAGTCATCAGCTTTTTACGGAAACTAATATTTGGGCTAACATTCCGGAACATGAATCTACGATTTGATCGAAATTTCACAAAAATCGGACAAGTATTAAAAAAGTTACAGGGTGAACAATTTGGTCAATTTTTTGGTGGCCGGCTTTTTTTCTGCCGGTGAGTGTAGTATGGGATTTTTGCTCTAGATACGTTTTATTTGCTCCGGAATCACTGGAAATGTCGTTCTATTTGTCACTTTATAGGTATAGAATAAATATGTCATTCTGTTACTATTATCGCCACCGGGATGGAACAAATAAAAGGAACTTCTAAGTTGAGAGGGACGTCAAAATATGCAGTGTGGCCGTTTGAAAGGAAATGACTAGTAGATATACTGCACCAATGAGGATGTGTCTAGTGCTCTGATCATCGGACATAACAATGATATTTCCTTAACTACTCTGACTTTCGAGGGTTGCTTTGCAACTAAGCTGGCGGTTAAAAACACTTTTAAAACACTTTTTAAACACTCCTCAAAACAAAATTCCAAGAAAAAAATTGATACTATCGACTAGAGATTTTTAAGTGAAAGATTTACATTTAGGACACAAGGTTATTGAATTTGCAATGAGAAATTTTGAAAAATTGTGAGCCTAAATATTTTTAATGATTTTGATTCAGGAATTCTTTCTATCTTGAAGTTGAGTACATAATATTTAAACAAAGATTATGAAATTTCGGGAAATACTTGAGCATCAGTTGGAAAAATATGTTGATTAAGTGTGGAAATTTATGAATGTGTATAAGACTACTCTGAATTAAAAAATCACCTTTTATTTCATTTCTACGGATGAGTTCAATGAAGAAATTTTACATCAACCGTAAGTTCAAAGCCTATAGAATATGCAAACGTAGGGTTGCCTATATTTTTCCCGGCCTAACTATTGAGCTGCAAGGTATAAATAGTATTTTGGTCCTAGTTATTTTCACCTACTTGTTCAATCTATGAATTAAATATAAAAATAAGCGCTGTTTTATAGCGAACACAATGATATAGGGTTGCCCAAAAAAAAACTGTTCTGAATTACGGTTGTTGAATTTGAAAAAATACAATTTTAGCGCGACTGTGAACGTGCGACAGAGGTCCGGTGTTTAATTTATAGATTATGCAAGTAGGTGAGAATAGCTAGGACCAAAATACCTTTTTATACCTGACAGCCCATTAGTTCGGCAAAAATATAGCCAACCCTACGTTTGCATATTCTATAGAAATTTGGATTTTTTCCGCACGTTGTAGGAAATACACGTGCGTAAAGTGGCTTTTCGCACTCGTTAGGTAAACTACTATATTTTAACTCCATTGCTGAGCACGCCAATGCTTCAGTAAAGCATCTGACCTTGAATTCATTTGACCTAATGGAAGTTGTGATGCACATGCAAAGAAATATTACACAGACCATACTGCAGTGGAGTTTCGCAACACGCGACTGGGTCGAAGAAAAATTGTGTAAAACTCATGGACAAAATCAAATCCCAAACAAAGACCAACTCACTTCTCAATAGCTGCTGCTGCAACGCCTGCATGGCGGCCGCGTTCTGCTGCTGCGAGTACTTATCCTGCGCGGCGACAGACGTCGACGACGACGTCGAGTGGCCGCCCGAACTAACTCCAGAGCTGCCGCCCACCGAGCCGTGGCCGCCCGACCCGCCGTGCCCGCCCAAACTGCCTGAACTAACGTGCCCGCCCGCACCGCCGTGACTGCTCGAGCCGCCGTGACTGCCCGAGCCACGCGTCGACTGCTGCTGGGCAGATGTCGGAGGCAGCGGCGGGGGCGGAGTCGGCTGCGGCGGGGGCTGGGCGGGAGGCGTGGGGGCGGGGCGAGGAGCCGGCGTGGGCGTGGCCGCCTTGGGCAGGGCTTCAGGCGTGGCGACGGGCGAGGGGGCGGGGCTGCTCGACGTGAACACGCCGTTCTGTATGGAACGAGACGCGAAGTGAGATGCGATCGTTATAGTATGAGATACGGTATAAGAAATATTTACCCCCATCTGTTATTCAATGATGATAGAGAATAAATGGTAGATAATACATATATTTATTCATTGCGAATAGGTTGCCTAGCTAAATCAAGTGCAGATGATGTTGAATAATGATATGTTTAATCACATTATTGTGATATAACGAAAGTGAAAAATTATCTCAATATCAGAAAATACCTGTATTGAAATGAAAAACGCTGAGGATAATATGGAGTATGAAGTAGTAGAGGTAACGAAAGAAGAAACAGCATTGGCTAAATAAATAACTAAATAAACCTGAAATGTCTCATAAATTCATCATCATTAATGCCATATTACGTTTTCCATGAATCTTCCAATTCTCAATCTGGTGCATCATGAAAAATAATTAATGGTTAAAAATGTCCAAGTATTCTCCATCACTCGAGCTTGAATAATCGTCATCGTCAACAATCGTAGAAACTATGGAGGCTACAAGAATAGATTGCCCTTCCGTGTTAAATATTCCGAAATAAATATCAAGCAGGAGACTGAATATCTAGTTCAGATGAACAAGAAACTACAGACTGACAAATTTCACCAGCTGATCAACTGCTACTGTCTACTGATGAAATCCACGAAAACTTGTTCCGAATCACTGTATTTTTGATTTTATATTTCGGAACACAGATTTTCAGCAGAGTCAGTGGATCCACTGACAGTACTGACCAGTTGAATTCGGAATATAGCCAGACATTGATGATGCCGGCAAGGTCGTACTGTCACAAGAAAATCGTATTTAAACTATGTGTGAATGTGGCTTTTCATAAAGTACGTCGTAGGAATGGAATGCCAGATGAGGGCATATTTTTCTTATACCGTATCTCAGGCTATTCGATAACGAGGTTTTCTATTTGTTCAAACATGCTACATCATTTTTTTCGAATATTTTCGATAAACCAAGCCATAGCTTTTAGGGCTATCCGGCAAATCTTTGGGATGCTTGACTTTGACATTGACCTCATGTTTTAGTAGCGCCAACTGGTGAGATTGAAAATTTTAGCCCTCATTATCTGAAAGGTGGAGACAATTTTACAAATTTTGTACAAAATACCTAGGTACAGCTACGAAATATATCAATTTATTTTATTCCAATCAACAAATAAGGCGTAGAAAAATTTCTCCCAGTGGGTTTCAGATGATTCCCTAATATTTCATTAAGATTCTTTGTGTTCATATGATATTGTGCTTCAAAGTTTTATTGGTTTTTGTATTCATCATTTAATTAGTTTCTTTAGTAGTTGAGCATTCCATAGGTTCTGTTTGTACTTTTGATAGTTATGTCATTAAATATTAATCACAGTTTTTCCGATGACAAAACAGAAAGAAAAACTAGTCACTGTGTCATTTGAACAATGGAAGATTTGTTCGATATAATATTCATTTCCAAAGGTGCGCAAAAATTCCATTTCTCTACTGTTTCAGTCTCCTTTTCTCTCAATAATTGCTAATCATGGGATACATTTTCAGATATCATAATTCATAAGTAGGTACAATTTAGTTTCATCCAGCATTTTGCTATCGTGACTTGAAATTTCAATAAAATTAGTTCATCATGTAGCAAGCCGTCCTCTAGCCAACCATCAGCTGGTTGGTTCTTACTTCTCACTCTTATGTTATATTCAATTCCTCTCTGTCTAGGCACCCTCTAGTAGTTTAATATTTTATTAGATCTTTGGTAAAACACTCCTACTTATTACATTACTCTCCTGTACTTAATAAAAATGCACAGGTAACATAATTTGTAAACAGGGTGATTCACATAAGAACCGACATAGATCAGGGGCATGTAGGGGGTCCCAAAATATGTCGATTTAACGCAACTTACCTCTATACCAAGTTGCTTCCCTAAGGAGTTATAGGCTTTGAAAGTGAAGTTATAAATTTTGAAAAAAATCAATATCTCCGTTATTCTTGAACTTACAGCAACCAAATTTGGTACACTTTGTGGTGGTATTTAGGGCGTTACTTGACAGTAACTAGAGTTTGATTGAAATTTGTAAAGGGGAGATACCAGGTGGCGCACCATTAATATTCAACAGAATTTTGTTAACCCTTGATGGATTTCAAAAATCTTTGCTTTGTTTTGTGGGCAATTCAATTCTAAAACTTTTCTTAGTCTAGTAATTTCTCGAAAAACCTCATAATTTTCATCAAAAACTCGAATAACTGAAAACGCGTGCTCTAGGTGTGTTATTTAAAATCATCGAAAATTCAAAAGTTGGCTATGAAAATAAACGTCAAACTTGATAATGAAGCAAGTAAGTTGTTCAATTAAGTAATTTATCGATAAACAATTGTTTGTTCTGGTTGTTGTTCAAGTTTTTTGTGTTTATTTTGGTTAGTTGTTAATCCCAGTTTTTCACATTTCAGTATCTGTACTTACTTTACGTATTTTGTTACGTATCTGAATAATAATTTGCCAGCCAATTTCTACTGATCACAATTAATGACCTACTTTCTTGTTGTACGTTTATTTTCATAGCCAACTTTTGAATTTTCGATGATTTTGAATAACACACCTAGAGCGCGCGTTTTCACTTATTCGAGTTTTTGATGAAAATTATGAGGTTTTTCACTTTCGAAGCCTATAACTCCTTAGGGAAGCAACTTGGTATAGAGGTAAGTTGCGTTAAATTGCCATATTTTGGGACCTCCTACATGCCCCTGCTCCATGTCGGTTCTTATGTGAATCACCCTGTATATACCAGAGTGGAGACGAGAGTGAATAGAATTATTGAATTTGTTAGAACTTGTTTTTGGATGTATGACAAATTGATCATAGAGGACGTGGAAGAATTGATATTTTCATCACATAGAGAATCCGAATTCTCGATGTATTTCTTTATACAGGGTGTCCCATAAGTAATGGATCAAAAGAAGTGGGGTGGTAGGGGGGGTCATTTCCAATCAAACTAACCGTATATGTAGTTATCCAATTACTGATGGTTCAAAAGTTGAAAATGTTTTTTCATTTCTGTAAAAAGAATTAATAACAATAAAACTTTGTCACACTTGTGATTTTTTCTTTCACAAATTTTGCACCTTTCCCCAGAAATAATTTTATGACATGTATTACTTCTTATCAATTATCTGAGAAAAAAATTTTTTTCCTTGAGTTTTGTCAGCAAATGAAATATTCAAGTCGATTTTTAATGCCGCTGGCAGATTCCAAAACTACCCCACAAAGATAAACAATCATAAGAAAAAGTTGCAAATTTAATACAGATTCCGAAATAGTATCACATATATATGTGTCGCATTTTTCAAAATAATTGAATAACTTTCGAACCATCTACAATTTGATAACAACATATACCCTTAGTTTGATTACAACTGACCCCTCCCCCTACCACCCCACTTTGTTTGATCCATTACTTATGGGAAACCCTGTATACAGGGTGAGTCGGGAGGAACGCACCAAACTCCAGGTGTGTATTGTACATGTAAAAATAATTTGAAAATACCCATATGTTCTGATAGGATTCTCATTTGTTTTCTTTTCAAATTTGAATAGATTTGTGGCATTTTACAAGACTTTAATTGTACAAACTCGATTTTTTCATATGTTTTGTTGTTCTGACATGTGTTCTTATTAGTGTCAGTGTGTTAGACGCGTTTAAAGTCTTATAAAATGCCACACATCTATTCAAATTCAGAATGAAAACAAACGAGAATCGCATAAGAACATATGATTTTTTTAAAATTATTTATACCTGAACAATACACACCTCCCGACTCACCCAGTATATATCGATTTTTTATGTTCATAATTTTACATGAGAATATTCCTTTTCAATTGTTAAGACTTGTTTATTGAAACACTTCAAAGGAAACTTTTTCGAATATTTCACGTTGATATCATAACTTCACTATCTTCTGGACATCGTTATCGCATTATACATAATGGAGGGCCGGGATTGGCGCAGTGGAAGAGCGTCCGTCTCACGACCGCAAGGTCGTGGGTTCGATTTCCAGCACGGGCAAGAAACTTTTTTCAATATTTTATTTACGAATTAAATATTGTAAAGTTTCGGAGCATCGGCTGGGGATAGTCCTGCACGATTCGCTGTTGCGTTCCAATTAACAGTGCTGCTCCTAAAGTGGCGCATGGAGTTAGTAACAAAGCCTACACAGAACACGCAGAAAGATATGATGATGTGGTTGTGAGCATCAGAGAAGAAGTAGGACGGTGTATGTAGGTGGGTGTGGAAAACTACCAACTGAGCGTGAGAGCGGGCCAGCTGCTTAAGTAGACCTCGGTCTCGGGGGTTAACGATGATAGTTAGTAGGCCTGCCACTGCGCATATGGTAGTGAGTACATTACTAGCCTACAAAACAGCTGAAAAACTCTGAAAAGAGAGCTGATGGGCGGTGCCTGAAAAGGATGTTAGCCAGCTCTCTTGAGCGAACCACATCAGTCATTGAAAACACTTGGGGTTTGCAAAAAGGTCCCATTGGGGACTAGTTGCTGACGTGGAAACGTCCCCCACCAGTACCAGTACCAGTATACATAATGGAAGAGAAAAAAGTCGATAAAACAAGCTTCTAGAAGTAAGGCAAAATATCCAGTAAACAGAGCAAGTATTTCAGTTTCAGAAGAACTTAGTCAACTACCGGGTGACCATAAGGAAAACTATTCATTAATTACTCCATATTTAGATTTAGAAAAGAAAATTATTTTCGAAAAACGATACACTGTAATTGTTTGGTATCAACATACTCACTTGTGCAAGTCTCTGCTCAATCTCCTGTTCTTGTTGAAGTGCTTTGACGAATGCAGTCTTCAGTCTGTTGGTGTGCTCTGCTTTCAGTGCCTTCTTCACATTATTAGTTACACACTGTTCACAGATTACCGACTTTAGACCTAAAAAACAACAATATCAAATAGATCAGTATTCCTATATAATGAGAAGGAATACATAATAAAAATAAAGATTGATAATTTTATTATCATTGTTTCTTCTATGCTGTTCATGATTCATAGTACATATTGGGAATCATTTCATGAATTATTTCAAACAAGATATTTTGAACATTAGTGGTATTCCAATTCTTCATATTCATCTTTCAATATCAATGAAAATTGTATTTCCAATGTATATTATTGCCAGTCTGGATTGCAAACGAAATGTAAATTTTGTCTATAGGAACGGATATTATGACAGATCGGGAATACCACTATAATTTATTTTTAATCAAATGGACGCTGTAGCAAACAGGTTAATTGAGCTAGTTGAAAGTATACAATACATCCATACAGAAATAATTTGCCACTGAGAAAAATTGTATGAACAGAACAATGAAAATGTGTCTATGAAATGGACATAAAATATTGGAATATTTTTGTCCAATCCAATCACTGAAAATGTCTGCAAATTTCAAATCCATTTCCGAATTTCATTAAAAATGTAAATAGTTCTTCCCCATTTGAAGTAAAGCCTATGAGATAAATTCGTTGATGATAGAGAATAAATGCAAATATTTGAAAATGATACTAAGAAATTGTCATTCCAGAAAGTTAATATTTTACTGCTTGCTATATTGGGTGATTGATTATCATTGTTCCTGGAGTCAATAGAATAGTTTAACATGGTTAAATCAAAGATTTTCAGAAATTATTATCTGTAATGTTTGGCGATTTTCAGTCATTTCTCTAGAAGTTGGAAATTTGTGCCCAGAGACTAAGATTATATCCAGACTATCACTACTAGCAATATTTTCAATGGGGAAGTTTCCAATATTGATGTTTTTATCTCACTGTGAAGTTTGGAAAAATGTAATACATAGCTTTTTTTTAGTAAGATCAAATGTAACTTCAGAAAAAATTAAATGAAGATGGAGCATGGCTCCTTCACCATTGTTATGACGTACTTTATGAAAAGCCACATTCACACAAAGTTGAAATACGATTTCCTGTGTCAGTACGACCTTGCCGGCATCATCAATAATCAGGAATTTTTCTTCCTATTCGCGAGATTCACGATGTGGGCGACATCTAGGTTACATAATACGAACTTCAAACTGGGGGAAAACAAACTGTTGTCTATGGATGAAGTGCATAGACTACATTGCATTCAGCTTGCTGTAGCTGTAGTCAAACTTGTCAATGGCATAAAGTGTTGGCACTGTTGGTAGTGATGATGGTTGAGTTGGTTAATTTTTTTACATTATTACATTTTCATTACTTTAGTGAACAGTGAACGGGTGAACAATTGGAGATAGTTCAAACAATTCAAACTAATTATGACGAGCAAATCAATTGACAGATAAAAAAGAACAGCTACAACATGTTTACAATACCCAGATTGTCCTGCTTTGCATGAACAAATACAAATCCATATTGTTCTACAGGAGTTCATCTGGACCCCAACTTCAATTTTACTTCATGTGGGGACGATTTCATCGCCGAAGTTTGTAGACAAAGTGCAAAAATGTGCCTTTTGTTGAAGTCTTCTGCCTCACACAAAATCACATGATTAGCACGGAGAACTGCTTCTCCTTCCACTACTGGTCGGCTTTTTCCATCCAAATAGAGCAAAATATCTGCCAAAAGAACATCTACAACAGGCAGCATTAGCGTTTTCGATCGAATATTGACAATTAATATCAAGAAATTTGAAAACTCATCACTCTTATCAGTACACAGTACACAAGCTAATGGCACTAATGGGATTGAGTACATTGGGATGAGGATTGAGTTTGTTTTCCCCAGTTTTGACGTGGCTCTGACATGGAACGATGAAAACCGAGCGCCACCTGGTAACATTGATTCCCGCGAATACATTGTAAATATATTATAGCAGCAATGAGATGTAATATATTTTGTAATCCTACTTTGTTGAGCACTATGAATAATTTTCATAAATCTTTTATTTGCTGGCTGAAGTTGACCATTAATGAAGATAAATTATGATATTTTACAATAGTATCTATAATTTTTCACTTTCGTTACAAAATGATAATCATAACTTGTCAGCCATTCATTTCCAAATAAATTCGTTCCTAATAAAATCTATTTTTTCGGAAAGTTGCAGATTATATCCTGCAACAGCGCATTATACTTTGAGCCCGTCCACGACGAGAGATGATTTCAAATTGTGGTTATGTACATTTTGTTTACCAGTTTTACTTGTGTCGATTTGTTAGTTAGTTGATCATCGCCCGAAAAGTGTCTGCGGACTACTTGCCTTCGGAAATAGTCGGTTTTTCGTTCGGAAAATGGAACGTAAAATGTGATTTTTTGTAGAGGTAGACGAAAAAATGGTTTTTAGGCTGGGATAATACTAACTTTTTTGTTTTTTGCCAGTCTCCCACTTCCACACAGGAGTGAAATCGGATTGGCACTGACTGCAGGCGAACGGCTGAGGTGGCAATGGGATTTTCGTCTCCTTTGTAAGGAAATCGACGACGTGCTCCAATCCCACCAAATAGATGAACTCGGTGTTGCTAGGATTCGGTATGAAGTGCATTTCTGGAGGAGGGGGTTTGGGAGGTGGAATCTATATGAAAAAATAATGTCGAGTCAAATAAAAAAAACACTGTCTGAGTATGTATGTAAGATACAAGTGAATCATTCCAAATGTTAGAATAATCGGTTGTATACAGATTGATTATGGAATCGGTACATACAGGGTGTTTCATAATATATGGAACCCTTCATCACAAAAATTACAGCTTTTGTGAGCATTTTCTACTCATATGTTTTGTGCGTTTTTCGAGTAACAATTGGTGAAGATTTTGAAGGAGTAGTGGGTGTTTTTCACACCAACATCTACGCCACTGGAAAAAGTACAATTTTGTGCCGCTTATTTGAACCGCCAATGCTTTCAACAGAAACAAGGTACTCATGGTCATAAGCTCTAATGTTTACCGTTTTCGAGAAAAATCAACTTTTATGTTGAAAAACATGGTTAATGAAGCCGTACACATGCCCTATGTGTAAACCAGAGTGAAATGCAATGAAAAAATTGCAAAACCAAAATATGAATTTGCAAAACCAAAATATGAAGTGTTCAAGTAATTCTTATGAGAACATACACATTGTTTTCAGCCAAACTTAGACAGGGTTGCCACAACCATGTTGATTTCAAATTTCCTGGCGGTATGGATACCATTAAATATAATAACAGTTATTTTGTAATCTTTAGTAACATTCTGCACATTCCGTGTATTTTTATTTCATTGGTTCCCCGTTAATTATTTCGACTTTAAATAATAAATGAACTAGAGTAAATTTACCAAACTCCGCCCGAATTTTCTCGACTTTTTCAAACATTCTTACTAAGGATATGTACCGTTAATAAACCGAAGTTACCGATGCTTTCACCGGTACCAACAATTTTGACAGTGGTTATCTACTGGTGACTACGGTTGTTTATTTACAGAATATCAGTCATTTGTCAAATTTTTTTATCGTTTTTTGAAAATTCATGCTCTGCCAGTATTTGATTTTTAATTATGACACCCAAAAGACCGTAATTCTTGTGCACAGTAAGCACAAGCAAAGGATGTAGTGTCCTGGAATAAGTGGAATAGACAACAAAAACTTATAATCTCCAAAAGTAAAAGAAAATCGAACACCTATCTCATATTTAGATCTATGCCTACCTCCTCTCCCATCCTCCCTAGGCATGACGATGTTCTTCGAACATGATAGGGGTTCTTTTTCGTGCGCACCAAACGATAAAAAATAAGAATACGTTTTTTTGTTGTAATTTGTAAATCGAAAAATCAAACCGAAAACTAAAACACGTCAACGTCAACTCAAACTTAGCGAACTTACCAGATAAAATCCACGGTCGTTCTGGTGACAAAGAATCTATCGCTCTTTCTGTAAGCGAGTTCCGTAAATACCCTTTTTTTCATGAACCAACCAAAAATTTCATATTCACGTAACGGAAAACTACTAACTGAAATTGCTGAAATAACCAAATTGATTTACGGAACATACCCTAAGACAGTGGCAACCCTGTTTGACGCAGTATAATTCACGAATTAATTGATGAATTCAAAATCATTTTGTGGATTTCTAAACTTCACTATCTGGTTATGGTAGCTTCCATGTTACAAAGTGGTGAACCAATAGTGAAAAATTATACAGGGTGAAAAGTGAACATTATGCAAAATTGTTCAAATTCCTGCATATTGTTTAATCCATAGAAATCATAATCTTTGAGGGACTGTAACTCCTTAGGGAAAAATATTCAGGCCCATGTTGATGTGAACTTTTTTCTTTACAGGCAATCAGCTAACGAGAGATTTCGGTGGAGTTTAATAACACTCTGTAAATACATACCTGTAGCAAAGTTTTCTCTAGTTGTTTGCGAAGCGCCAATTTAGCTGCAGCTTGTCTTTGAGCAGGAGTCTGATTATCTTCTCTGGGTCTTTCCTGTGAAACGAGCACAATGACAGTCAATATAACCAAGAGTGAACCTCGATATTCTCTAGCTCAAGTTCAATGAAATAATGTATTTTACCTCCAGAACGACATTACTTTGCACGGGAGCACCTACTATCATTCCTTTGTTATCTAATCCACTGACAGTCTAGCAGCATGGAAACAATTCATATTTATGAAACAACATCATTTATCAAAGTGACGACTAATACAACCTGAATTGCATACGGAAAAAAGTTTCAAGTAGTTCCACCTGTAAGCAGAGTGGTCTACTTGTAGTACCACTCTGTAGCATGTAACGTAGGATTTACACCTGATGGCTATTATAGGAGACAAATACATCATCAGTACAATAAAATACTCGTATGTGATTTCACAGATGTATCGTAAGTAGTATATCTAAAGCTAAAGCCAATCGTGAGAAACTTCGAGTAGAGTTTTGACAAATTTCAATACTAACTTCTAATACCAGGATATAATATTGAATTGATGAGATGAAGAACTTGGTAGAGATTTGTTAACTTTTGATCCCTGCCACTACTAAAAGCGTTTGCGAAATATTCCTGAACAGTGTAAAAGACACGGCCGAGGCACCATTTCTTGGCTCACAGCTTAAATTTCTTATTGGAGAATAAAATCAAACTTTGGGGTAGGTGATTAAAGATCCTAATCACTTTATCTCCCTTTAAAAACAGCAAGTACAGTGTGTTGGGTTCGTTGTATCAATGCAATAAAATGAAATAAAATAAGAGTGATGAATGAAAATTACAAAATACAATGAATAAATATGAATACAATTGATGCATAGAGAAATGAAAAGTATCTGAAGAAACAGATAATGCTTATCAGAGGAGGGCATCTCTGCTCTTCATAAGCATAAAGAAATCTTCCACATTGTGAAGAGAATTTGCTGTTAGAAAAAATGTCAACTTTGATTTGAACATTTTGATTCTCAAGTCACGTAAATCAGATGGCAATGAATTTAAAAGCTTGACACCTATGTCGTCACATCTTCTTAAGCGGGTTTTATTATATGAATAATTTGGTACAATGACGTCTGGATTTCTGGATTTCTTTGCAATCAGTAAGTTGTACAGATTGGTTATTTGAATATTGTTGGACAGGATTCTCTTGAATTCATACCGAACAGAGTATATTATGAGTTTTACTGTAGTTAACTCATTGTTCATTGCTTGCCGATTTGCATGAAACCAATCCGAAATTTGATTCATCATAATTGTGGATATTATTGACGATGACTGAAGGCGGTTTCCATTCATACTTGTATCATCAGCGAATAGAGAAAATATGACATTTGAGAAATTTCAGATGATGTCATTGATAATTTTATTATGAATAGAGTAAGTCTCATTACAGAGCCTTACACATTTCATGCTTTAGTAACCATGGGTGGCCAACACGCGGCCCGCCGCTTGTTTCCTTGTGGCCCGTGAAGCTGGGTCGAATGAAGAAAAATCTTGACTTTTTGTCAACTTCTATTCGAAAGAGCATGAAATCATGCGTTCTATAACGTAATATTATTGCATTATTCATCAGGAGAATTTATGTTCAAAGTCCCTCAAAATGGACCATGTTATGAGAGTTGTTATCAAAATAGTGAACTTCATTAAGTCGAAGGGGTTAAACCACCGATAGTTCCAAGAATTTCTCAAATCTTTGGACTCAGATTATGATGACGTTACATTTTATGCAGAAGTGAGATGGCTGACCCGCGCGAAAATGTTGAGAAGAGTATTTGATTTGCAACAAGAAATACTATTATTCTTCGAAAGTAAGTCGAAATGTATCCCAGAGTTTGGAGACAAAGAGTGGGTTTGGGACTTTGCGTTTCTGGTCGATATAACTAGCCACCTTAATGACGTTAATACGCGTTTACAAGGAAAAGATCAATTAATAATCTTGATGATCTTATTTCTTCATTTCAAATGAAACTCGGACTCTGGGAACAACAGTTGAGGACAAAAAACTTCACTCACTTTCCAACGTTGTCATTGCAACCAGATGTCAGGCAGGAAGCAGCAGATAAATTCGCTTCTTTGATATCTGACTTGAATCTTGAATTTGAAAACAGATTTCAGGATTTCAAAAAACATCGTGTGCTTTTTTCTGCATTTGCAACGCCATTCGCTGTAGACGTGAATTCGTTACCAGGCGGATTACAGATGGAACATTGTGAAATGTGCTGTGATACACAGTTGAAAGAGAAGTACCATCAGGTTGGTTTGAAAGAGTTTTATAAAATGTATTTGGACAAAGATGAATATCCTGCGTTTTACAAACATGCTCGGATGGTTTCGCTATTCGGAAACACTTATGCGTGTGAACAGCTCTTTAGTCGCATGAAGCATAATCAAATCCCAAGTTAGAACTCGAATAACTGGATGAACATTCAGAAAACAGTTTGCGTGTAGCAACAACATCAGCATCAGTAGAAATCAACATTGAAGAACTCAGTTCTGCCAAACAAAGTCAGACGTCTCACTAAACTGTAATACTCTCAAATTGGCTCGTTTTCTAATAAATAAATATGTTTAATTTTCAGTTGTTCGATGTTTTTTGAGAAAATAAATGAAAATATTTTTTTTCTGTAACGATAGACTAGGAAAGAGTTTGATCGCATACTATCAATATAAAAAAAATGGAGCGTGGCCCGGAGAGGAATCTTATTTCTGAAATTTGGCCCGGCTACTGAAAAGGTTGGCCACCCATGCTTTAGTATATCCTTTTGTATAAGCCAGGAAAGTAGTTGTTTTCAGTTAGATATTTGAATGATATTGATTTTTTTTTAATTGTGTATTTTCAATATTTGAAAGATATTCAATATTCTGTGGTATAAGCCAGAAAAGTAGCTTTTCTTGTTGAATATTTCAAGAATGTTTCTTCTTATTCCCGAAAAAAATATATTGAATGCTGTTTGTTTCCAAATTGATACTACAGGGTATGAGATACCAGATTCTGTTTCAACGTAATATTGAAACAATACTCGTATTTTTGTTAATACATAGAAACGAGAATAGACAATCCCAAAAAAATCCGGAGAAATGACATATTCTCACCTTGATGGTCTGGGGTGGAGCCGGAGTGATGGTGACGGAAGGTGACAAATCTTTGACTCCAACCGAAAATCCACTGGTCGGTCGACCAATGGAAGTCCTCTGCGGTGGCTGTGGAACGGAAATGCTGGTTCTCGTGTTTATGGGCGAGGCACTCAGAGGAGGGCCGTGGACGTTGCCTCGTGCTGGTGGAGCTTGTTGCTGAGATATACAGGGTGTTTCAAAAACGTGTCTATTGACATGGGTCAGAAAACTTCTACTTTTTCGAAATAATAGTAATAGGCAAGAACACAAATGTGCGAATTCATTTTAAATGTGCACATAACATATCAAAAAACGCTGGACTTTGATGAGTTCTCATAGGATTTCAAGAACTGCAACTTCCGAGCAATAAACAAGTTCCTTCTTGACATCAATTGGGATGAAATACTTGCCACTAATGTTAATAATGCTGTCAACGTTTTTATCATATTTTATTTCGAGTAATTGACAGATTCACACCTATTATCAAACTGAAAGGCAAATTTAGATTTCCTATATGGTTTGATGAAGAACTGAAAAATGATACTATACTGAAAAAAAAACCATAAACAATATAAATGCACCAACTCAAAGGAGGATTACAACAGTTTTTCTCATTTAAGATCATTATGCAAAGAACAATCATCATCATGCTACAATAACTATATTTCTAAAGTTGAAAACGGAATTATCTCTGAACCCAAATTATTCTGGAATTGTATTCGCTTGAAAAATCAGGAAGATGGTATTGCCAGTAAGGTATTCTTTAATGATGAGATTGCAAATCTGTTTGCTAAACATTTCTCTTCAGTATACTCCAGTGACAATACCTCTATAGATCCTAGATCAGATAGTGAATTTGATTCCATCAGCATTGATAAAATATTTATAAATATTTCTGACATTCTAGAAAAACTTCAGAGCATTGATTGCTCTAGAGGGGCTTTTTGGATTAATTCGGATTTTTTTGAATTAATTCATTTGATACAAGAACATCGAAAAAAACTAAGTTTTTATTTCCGTTAAAAATCTCAAAGCATAACAATAAAATACTTAAAATATGCCATTTTTGCAATACAAAGTGAGACTATTGATTGAATGAAAAATTATGTTTATGCAACTTATATTACTCATTCACAATTGTTAAATATATATTCAATTAGGCACGTTATTAGATCCAGAATGATTTTATTGCAATCTATTCGGATTCAATGACTGACATAACATGCTCAAAAATTATATTTTTTACATCAATCTGACTAATGTCATCAGATACAAACAATACCAAGTGTTCAAAATGATAAACTATAAATATTCAGGATATCTCTTGCTTTAAGACGTAACATTCTCCACCTCCTAGAAGGCTTGATATGATTATCCATTTCAGGATGTAGGGAGTATACACAACTTCGATACAGGTCGTGTATAGAAACCTTTCTTTGTTTTTATCTGAGCCACTCTAATGATCCCATCATTTCCGGGGTAGACATGTTCAATACGACCCAGTAGCCATTCATTTCTTGGCATTTTCTTGTCGACAATAACCGCTACGTCACCAACTTTAACTGCCTCAGTTGTTGCATGCCATTTTGTCCTCCGTAAAAGAGTTGGCCGATACTCGCGTACCCATCTCTTCCAGTAGCAGTCTGCCAAAGCTTGTGAAGTACTCCATTGCTTTCTGCTCAGAATCTCATTGTTACCGTGAGATGTAACTCCGCCTGGACGTAATAGGATAAAATGATTTGGTGTAATCGCTTCGGGTTCTTGAGGATCCACGGAAATGTGTGTCAATGGTCTGGAATTTATCATATACTCTGCCTCGTATAATAAAGTTAATAAAACCTCCTCTTTCGGGTTGATAGATTTCAGACTTATCTTGAGCGCGGTTTTGAAGGCTCTTACCATACGCTCCCAGACTCCACCCATACTCGGTGCCCCAGGTGGATTGAATTTCCATGCTATGCCTTTTGTTGCTAAGTTATCAGAGATTTTTTGGTGATCTAGTGACTTACTCCATTCTCTCAATTCCCTTTCTGAGCCGACAAAGTTTGTACCGTTATCGCTGAAAATCTCTTTAGGCTGTCCTCTTCTGCATACGAATCTGCGTATGGCCATTATTGCGGAACTGGTAGTCATAGTTGCTGCCAATTCAATATGTACAGCCCTTATTGTAAGGCAAGTAAATAACACTCCATATCGTTTTTCGACCCTGCGACCCACAGATACATTGATTGGCCCAAAATAGTCAAGTCCAACATAGGTGAATGGAAAAACTGTAGATTCAATTCTTTGCGGGGGCAAATTTCCCATGAGCGGAGCTACTGGCTTGGAATTTCTAATTTTGCAAACTTGGCACTCACGGAAGCTTCTTTTCACTGCGGCACGGGCATGCAATATCCAGTACTTCAATCGCAAATTATTAACAACAGTTTCGATTCCAACATGACCAGCTTCTCTATGATGATGGTCTATCAACAACTGTGTATATCTATGTTTTGGATCTAAAATAATTGGGAACTTTGCATCAAAATCTATGTCACAGTCATTGGAAAGTCTTCCTCCAAGTCGAATTATACCAACTTCGTCCAAGAATGCTGACAGTTGAAAAAGGCGACTACACTTGGGAATTGCTTTATGCTGAAGTAACTGACGGAGGTCTTCTGTGAATGATTCATTCTGGCTTTGTCGAACCCATAGTATATTGGCTTTATCTACTGATTCCACATCAAGAAGTAGCTGAGGTGGCCTCTCATTCTTAGGAAGGCGAATTACTTTAATCAAATGTAAAACCCATGCAGTTGATCGGACCAATCTCATCCACTTGGAAAATCGCTCGATATCAGGTAGATCTTTTTCAGCCCTCATATTAACCAGGCAGACATATTCTTTTTCCATTTGATCGCACCGATCTACTGGCTCCATTGGCCAAAACTCACGACTTTGTTTCAAGAACTGAGGACCTGTGAACCAAGAACTAGTGACATTCAACTCCGAATTTTTCAAGACTTTGGTGGCCTGATCTGCTACATTCAAATCAGATGGGACCCAGTGCCATTGAGATATATCAGTGTCTTCTTGGATCTCTCCTATTCGACAAGCAACAAACATAGGAAACCTTCTAGATTGGGAACGTATCTGTTTCAGAACCACTAACGAGTCTGTCCAAAAATGAACATGTTTAATGCAGTACTCCAGCTCATTTTGTACTGTTTTGGCTACCCTGCTTGCTAGTACAGTTGCCTGAAGCTCAAGTTTAGGTACTGTCTGTTGGTTGAGTGGAGCAACTTTGAACTTTGATGTTACAAACGACGTATGATATTCTCCATCAATCTCGCATCTCAAATAGGCGACAACGGCATACGCTTTATCACTTGCATCGCAGAACATGTGAAGATCGACCATTTTTACAGATGCAAGTTTCGGAAAATAATACCTCGGAATGAGTATTGGAGAATGTGCCTGCAAATCATCAAGCCAAAGTTTCCAAGAGATAAACAAACTCTCAACAATCTCCATGTCCCAATCTATACTGAGTTTCCATATTTCTTGCATAAGTAATCGTGCTTTAATCATCAAAGGTGCAAGAAAACCAAGGGGATCGAAAATGGACATAATGGTTCTGAGAACTTCCCTTTTCGTTGGTATCTTCAGTCCGTCCACAATTTCTTTTGGTAACTTCTTCAGGTTCAATGTAAATATGAAATTGTCATCAGAGGAGGACCAACGCAGACCTAACACCCGTTCGATCTTCTGAGAATCAATTATCAAATCATCTTGAACAGAGGCTCGAAGATTTTCAGGAATTGACGAAATAACGTTATCAGAATTGCTGATCCATTTGGTCATCTCGAAACCTGCCTGTAGATGAACATGTATGACAGTTCTTACTTTCTCGATAGCTTGTTCTTCGGTATCACAAGAATCCAGATAGTCATCAACATAGTGCTGTTTTCTCATAATTTTCAGAATTCCTGGATGTTGTGACTCGAAACTTTCTGCATTTTTGTTCTTGACGAATTGAGCGACAGATGGAGATGAAATGGCGCCAAATATCATGACGTTCATTTGGTACACGTCTGGTTGCCTGTTCCGATCAGTGCCACGCCATAAGAACCTTTGAGCGCACTTGTCGTCTTCTTTTATCATGACCTGATGAAACATCTCTTTTATGTCGCCATTAATTGCCACCTTACCCTGTCGAAACCTCCATAATACCGAAACGAGAGATGGTACAAAATCTGGCCCTTGTAATAGGAAATCGTTGAGGCTGGATCCGTGGCTCTTAGCAGCAGCGTCAAAAACGAGTCTGATCTTTCCTGGCTTATTCATGTTCCAAACAGCAAAGTGGGGTAGGTACCACGTTTTAGGGGTATCTATGATTTCACAACTGTCCAGCTTTTTTGCATAGCCCTTCTCCACGTATTCGGATATCTTGTTACAATATTCTTTGGCGAAATTCTTGTCCTTGTCCATTTTACGTTCCATACAAAGGAGACGTTTAAAAGCATTTGGTCGACTGTCTGGTAGAGTATTTTTTTCCTCTTTCCATAAATGACAAATTTCATACCTATCTCCAACTTTCCTTATAGAATTTTCCATCAGCTCAACTGCCCTTTTGTCTTCAACTGACTTGATCAGATTGTCTTGCAACTTCACACCAAAAGATTCGAGGCGAAAACTATCCTTGACAAGTATGTGAAGTTCTTCATCATAGACATCTCGGCAACAAAGACTAATATGAGCAGTCTCACCAGATTCAGTATAATCGATAGGTCCATGAACTGTCCATCCTAATTTTGACTTCGACATGATAGGTGCATTCACTCGAGGTTGAATTATATGTCTTGGTACGATGAGACCACAGTTATCTTGGCCAATTAACAACTGAGGTTTTGTAGACTTGATCGATTCCAAGAGCTGATGATTCAAATAAGGAAATTTCTCACAGACTTTTTCAACGTCAAACTGTTGGGCGGGAAGGCTCAAATTTTCCACAGTCCGCACTCGCTTCATTGAATAGAAAATGGATGGAGTATTAACAGCCGCCACTTCAACAGAAATCATTTTCGAAGTATCCTCGTAGTGTGTGATTCCATTGGTCCACTGATAGCAGAAAGGTGTGATGATACCGGGCAGTTCAAGCTCATCAGCAAGTTCTTTTTCTATCATGGAACAAGTCGATCCCTCATCGAATAGCGCAAACACCGTTTTTTCTCCAACTGGTCCATGAAGTATGACAGGTGCAATTCTCAGGAGAACAGTTTGATCAGCTGAAGTCAGGTTGGCACATACTTCTGGATTTCCACTGGTTTCTTCTCTGGCTGCAAGGTGGTTTCGCTCGATATGAAGTAATTTATTATGTCTACCCTTACATTGGTCTACTCCACATCTCTTCTTCTGATGGAAACATCGATTTGCCATATGCCCAGGTGTTAGACAGACGAAACAAATCTTCATATCTAGGGCAGCTGCTCTTCTTTCCGCTATAGGTTTTCTGCAGAAATCGCTACACTCCTGGATACTATGTTTACCATTTTTACAAAACAGACAAGTAAGTGCTTCATCTTGTTCATGCTTCATTGGCTGCTTCTTCGATACCATTACTGTTTCTCTCCTGGTGCTTCTAAATAGACATGGATTATGAATGGTGGCCATGAGATTCACCTCCTCTTCAAGCCAATTTGAGAAATCGTCCAAAGAAATTTGTTTGGCTTGAGCTTCGAGCGCGAGTTTATATTTGGCCCAACCATATTTCTGAATCGGAGGAAGCTTCTCTATCAAATTGTTTAAGAGTTCTGGGTTAAAAAGATAGACCCCACAGTCAACATTCTTCATTGACGTAACCATATTCGTAACGGTATTGAAAAAAGTAATGAAGGATTCCAACTTGTCATCTCTGATGGGACTCATCTTCTTAGCTTTATCCATCAAAGATAAAACAATCCACTCAGACCGGCCAAAGTTCATCTCTAACATTTTTAAAATTTTCTCTACATTCACTGGAGAAATTAGTAATGCTTTAACTGTATCTCTGGCCTTTCCTTTCAAGGCTCTGTCAAGGCGCAGAATATTTTCTTCATCGGTCAATTCATATAGTTCTGTAGAACGTTTAAACTCGCTGATAAATATGGGCCAATCAGTGAGTTCCCCTGAAAATTGACTAAGATCTCTTATTTTCTGGCGAAATAGAAATTTATTCATAGCAGTGGTGTTTTCCAAGCACTGTCTGGTCATATCTTCGACTGGAATTGGAAATTTATCCGAGTGACCATTGGAAACACTTGCAACTTGACCTTTACTAGCAACCGATACACCCGAGTGACTAGATTCAGGAACAACACATTTCTTGGCATCGTCTATCCATTTATTCAAACAACGGCTACTACTGTATAGACTTTTCGGATTATCTTGTTGACTCCCAGTATATGAATTGCTATTTTCAATCAACTTTTTTTGAAGATCAAATTCTTTTTCCAAATTTGCCCGCCTTTTTTCTATGGCTTTCAATCTTTCTTGAGCTTTTTCTTCTTCAAACTGCTTCTGCTTTTGAATAATCTCCAGCTTTTCTGCAGCTTCTTCTTCATCCAGCTGTTTTTGCTTCTGAATCATCATCAGATCTAAATTCAGCTTAGAAATATCAGATTTCTTCGAAAATACAGACCCTTGTGCCTTTGCACTGGGTGATTTCAATGATGAATCAATATCAGATTTAGTTTTCCTACCTATCGGCTCCAAAACATTGTTTTCAGGCACATTTTCTGATGATGAACCCATGATACCTTTTAGCTCTCTAGTTTCAACAAGACTAGTAGATGGTATAACATGTGAATCTGGTTCAAGTCTCTTATCCAGTACGTAATCTGAAAACCTTTTAGGCGGAAGACCCTTATTGCATCTGCTGCTTCTGCGTTGACATCCAGATTCAATAATATCTGATTTTGACCCCATAGCGCGTTCTTTTTATGCTCGTAGGACCACAATGTTAAATATATATTCAATTAGGCACGTTATTAGATCCAGAATGATTTTATTGCAATCTATTCGGATTCAATGACTGACATAACATGCTCAAAAATTATATTTTTTACATCAATCTGACTAATGTCATCAGATACAAACAATACCAAGTGTTCAAAATGATAAACTATAAATATTCAGGATATCTCTTGCTTTAAGACGTAACAACAATCTTTATTATAGAGGCGCTTTAGTTATTTTCAAAAAAATGCCTTGGAAAGCAATTTTTCGTTGCATTGCAAGAAATGAGTCCGGACCTATTTATTCATATTGCGGTAATTTGTATTACTGGTGCAATTCTATGTAGTGGTGACATGTTAGATTTTCGGAATTTCATGCATCATTAGATGCACATTGGATCTTACTTTTCTTGCCTTTCTCATGGTTTCTTCTACCCACCTCTCGACCCAACTCAAAACTTGGTGAGAAGTATACACAAAATCTATGACAAAAAGACATTGCAAGCCGGTAATTCCGATTCAGTGTTGAATAGCCTACATATTATTTTTGCCGGAAAAATGAATTGGAGCAATCAAAAAATCGTAATGTGTAAAGCGGCTCTTAAAAAATTTATGTTTCCGCGTGTGGTGCTTCACGGTTGTCAGTTGTCAGATGCCATCGGATATTTCATTTTAAACTAGTTCAAATTGAAGGTTATAATGAGATTTGTTCCCATTTAATAAATTTTGAATTACCTAATTCATGACATTTGAAACAAGTCATTTAAATTAAATCACTGACTTGATTCATATGAATCAATTCGTGCCAATCCTGCTTCTATTACACATTGCTATTGGTTCAAACAATGAAAACGTCACATTTTGACATGTGAAAAAAATAACCACACTAAGGCTATATTCCGAATTCAACTGACAGTACTGAATCTGCTGATTTTTCATTCCGAAATCGAAAAAATTCACTGAAAGTGACAGATGCTTGTGAGCAGAAATACTATTCATTCCAAATATTTCGACTCAACATTCTGCTGAAATTACTGACTATCGAAAGATAGTGGCTATATTCCGAATTCAACTGGTCAGTACTGTCAGTTGATCCACTGACTCTGCTGAAAATCTGTGTTCCGAAATTTAAAATCATAAATAAAGTGCTGTAATTCGGAACACGTTTTCATGGTTTTCATCAGTGGTCAGCAGCAGTTGATCAGCTGGTGAAATTTGTCAGTCTGTAGTTTCTCGTTTACCTGAACTAGATATTCAGCCTTCTGTTTGATATAAATTTTGGAAATTTAATATTCAACATGGAAGAGCAATCGATTCTTGTAGCCTCCATAGTTTCTACGATTGTTGACGATGACGAATCAAGCTCGAGTGATGAAGCATACCTGGACATTTTATTGCCATTCATTTTTCATGATGCACCAGATTGAGAGTTGAAAGATTCATGTGAAACGTAATATGATATTAATTATGATGAATTTAGGTTACATTTCAGGTTTATTTAGTTATTTATTTAGTCAATGCTGCTTCTTCTTTCGTTACCTCTACTACTTATTACTCCATATTATTCTCAGCGTTCATTATTCTATGACAGGTATTTTCTGATATTGGAAATAATATCATTAACAACGGAAATGAATCATACATTCCTTCCCCCTCTAAAATAATGACAGTTCATACTGAAGCCAATGATGGAAGTAAGATATGGTGCGCGCATTCGGCCATTATTACGTATTGAAAATTTCAGAAAAATCACTCGACCGCCTACTATGATTTCTCTACGTCACAACGAGCGAGACGTTGATTCTACATTTTCCCGCTAGATGGTGATGCTGCTATTGCTGCTGTGACGAGTGGAAATAAAATGGCATATGGCATTTTAGGTACGCGGAACATATGTAACAGTGGGATTATTCAACTCTCATATCGAAAAATCTGCGACAATTTCAAAACTGACAGATGTTATAATTGTGCAATGTCGCCATCTATTAGAAGATCGACGGAACCATTGCTCTCGCTGTTCTCGAGAGGTCGAGCAAAATTTCTGAAACAAAAGCGCATAAGTAATTACACCATACCTTACTTCCATCATTCTGAAGCCACACCACCTTCTGATGCTCAGCAATTTCAGCAGAATGTTGAGTCGAAATATTTGGAATGAATAGTATGTCTGCACACAAGCATCTGTCACTTTCAGTTAATTTTTTGATTTCGGAATGAAAAATCAGCAGATTCAGTACTGTCAGTTGAATTCGGAATATAGCCAGTGTGGCTTCAATGAACTGTCATTATTTTCGAGGGGGAAGGAATTTCACATTTATTTACGTTGTTCTTTAAACATTAGGCCTTGTCTTATCAATAATAAATTGATAATAATCATAAAATGTCTGTTATTGAAATAATTGACGCTGAGAATATTTAAATTTCACCAGCTGATCAACTGCTGCTAATTACTGATAAAGTGATAAAAACCATGAAAACGTGTTACAAATTACAGCAGTGTATTTTTGATTTTACCCTCACCCTCATGATATTGGGCGAGTTGGCGTTGCCCTGCAACACGCCCCCCATGCCACTGCCCATCTTGTGCGCGGAGACGGCCGTCGGATGCCGCGCGTGCGCCATCTGCGGCGACTGCTGCCCCTTGGGCGGGGCCTTGACCGTGGTGGGCGTGATGCTGAGGCCGCTGGGCAGGCCCGTGGGCGGCAGAGCGGACGCCGGCAGGCTGGCCGGCAGCACGGCGACGTTCTCCTTCAGCTGCTGCGACTGCTTCAGCTTCTTCAGCAGGACGAGCTTCATCTCTTCGGCGCGCAGCTCTTCGCGGAGCCGTCGCAAGCCGCGGTCTCTGTGGAATTGGCAAGATCACAAATGCGTGACTTTTATTTAAATATGCTAATAAATGAATTATTCATTTATTTATTCATTTATTTATTAACGGACAAGCCAATTATGCAATTTACAAAAAGAAAATATAAAAATACAGAGCACGTACATATTATCATATCTATGAAGAAGACTAACACAAAAAAATCTAGAGGGCTAAAACGAATAAAAAGATGAGGATTATGGAAAAAGTGATTAACAGTTTCTTATCGCTTTCCTGAAAGAACATAAAGATGAATTGAACAGTTCCATTTGGTAATTGTGTGTATTTGCTGTTTTCATAATTCTATTCATGGATTCATTTTGGCCATAATTTGTCCTACAGAATGTTATCTTATTGAAATATCTAATATTTGTGGATAGGTATATGTATCCCTATTGAATCCCATGTGATATGCACAAATTCTTAAAAAATTATTTTGACAACCCTCTAAAAGATCAGAATCAACTTTGTGAAATGGTGACCAGATCAAAGAATTATATTCAAGAATAGACCTTACCTGTGCACAATAAATAATTTCAACAGCATTAACAGATAGTTCTTTAGCAGAACGAAGGGAAAAGCCTAGCATTTTACGAGCACAAGATGATGCAATAATGTGATGTTTGAAGGTCATTTTTGAGTCGAATATTACTCCTAAGTATTTGATTGTATTGGTTACTGATAGATTAGTGTCATTAACTCTGTGAATATGATCAATAGCATCATGGCTTTGTGAAAATGATATCTTTTGACATTTATTCAAATTCAGTTTTAATAAATTGGTGACACCATCTGGAAAAGTTATTTAGATCGAGCTGCAAACCGTTCTAAACATCTTCAGGTCATCGGCAAACATCAAGAAGGAACTGTTGATGATGACGTCAAAGAGGTCATTAAAAAAAAGATGTAATAACAGAGGTCCCATGTGAGATCCCTTTGGTACACCTGATGGTACTTCGATTGGTTGTGAAACTGAGCTCCCATATTTCACATATTGGACTCTACTAGTGAGATAGCTTTCGATCCAACTTGAGATATTCGCCTCTATACCCAAAGCTTCAAGTTTTTTAAGTAACAGACTATGGTTAACTCTATCAAAGGCTTTAGAAAAGTATGTGTAAATAGAGTCTTCTTGCAGCTTATTCTCTAATGAATTGATGATATAGTTTTGATAAAGCAACAGGTTTGTTGATGTTGATCGACCCTGCATTTGCGGATACATGTTCATAGGAAAAAAAGTCTCATTCAGATCTGAAAAACGAGTCCAAGAAATAATTCGAATCAAATTGGTAATCAAAATTGACACTGACGTTGGGTGAAATTGGACGAATTTGGAGAAAAAATGATATGTTCCACACGGCAGATAAGCAGATTTAATGCCTTGGCTGGGTTCTTAGCCTTGGAGCTACGCCTTGGCTATGAAAGTAAAACAAATCTGCCTAGTAAAACAAATAACTATTTTTTTCATTACCAAAACCAAAAAGCCATTACCCCCCAAGCAAACACATTATCGACACCTATGACCAAACATCGGAGGCTGTGATCAAATCAAGAGAGTTGGCAACCCTGAATTCTAACCTGTGCTTGATCTCAGAAGAAGACAACTCTTTGATAGGCGCTAGTGGCGGCATCTCTCCTTCGCTGGAATCGCTGCTGTAATCCAAATTGCCGTTCGTCCTCTTCTCCAAAGTGCCGTTGATCAGCACGTCGGGACTTTCCACGTACGACCTCGGCTCAGTTCGGGGTCTCAGAATCCTCCTCTGGTTCACTATGGGCTGCTGCTGTTGCGCTAGGATGACGGGATGAGGAACTATGTTGGCGTTGTTTGGCTGTTGCGGCAGGTTGTAAGCAGGCGGAATTGACAATGGTCTGTTGGAACTTGATGAAAGAAATTAAATGAGATTTGTATGGGCTAAAATCGTGGAACAGAGTTTGGAGTGCACAAAGCTATTTCATTATCCTACAAGTTCATTTTAAATCAGGATTCAGGTATAGGATATTAACATTCTTTATGCACTAGCGGGCGGTAAAGTGCACTATACCGCCCAGTTTCGCGGGCGTAAAGTGGTATTTACCGCCCGCTGTTCTCAAGTCCCCTTTCTTTCGATAAATCTGTTTTTTTTTGTTATTTGAAGAATAATAATTGGATTTTTTGGTATTTCATTTCAAAAAATGACTTTCTATCATATCATTAGAAAGGAATGGTTATGCTGAATAGTACAGGCAAGAAAAAGTTGTATGTTCCTATTTAAGTTATGGACCTACAGAGTATTGTTTTTTTCCCAATTTTTCCAATATTTTTTTGACGGCTTCTTATAACGCCGACGAATGAATAGAAAATAACACTGTAGTAGCAACTGTTATCAAGTGACGTATGGTTTCCATAGCCAACTTTTCAATTTTTGGCTTTCATTTTGCTTCCACGGCCTACTCGGCGAATTTCAATAATATTTTTTTTCTGATGTAGTTTCTGGTTAGATATCAACTTGTGATATGTCATTAGAAAGGGAATTGAATGCTGAATGAAGCGAAAAGAAAATGTTACTTCCGGTCAGACCGGAAGTTAACTTCGACATGTCAATATGCTCAAATTCTAGCTCTTATGTCATTATATCGACGCTCCAAATTTCACAAACCTACTTTATACAATAACTGAGATATTCCGTAGGCAATACTTCCGTAGCCACCCGGTATAATGGGTATACATATTGTAACATATCAAGAAATGAGTCTCTGTTAGTGAAGAAAGAGTTTTACTCTTATGATAATTGCGATATTCGTACAGTAATTTTAACATGTGGATTATACACATAAACATTGCCCTTCTCTTGAAAACTGAATTTATGAGTAACATATGAATTGTAGTTTGTTGAAATCTAGTCATTACTTGTGACTCGGGAAATAAACCACTAGTGCATAAAATTTTGTATGTATCACGTGCGTAAAATGCGTTTATAGCCTTCAGTGTGTGATGGCCCTCGGCTAACGCCATACATGAATAACTATTTTTTACTTAATTACTTAATGAAAACACACAATATATTTCATTTCATTCAAAAAGCTTGTCATGTCTTTCTGAAAATTTATTAAACCAATGTTTAATTTCCTATAAATGAAAGGTTCCAAGGACTTTTTTCAAAGCTATATTCCAGTTCAAGTAAATTTGATAGAGTTCTAGAATGCCCGGAAAAATTCCTAACTGAAAGAGTTGAGAAAGTATAGTACTACCAGTCAGACGAACTCGACAGGCCCAGTCAGCACATCCTTTCCTTGAAATATGTCGAACAAAATAACATTTTACTGGAGACTTTACCAAAACCCTTACGTCTATAGAACGGAAAAGGGCAAAGCTTTGGAATTCTTTGCCAATGGAAGTATTTCCAAGAACTTATAACCGCCAAAAGTTAAAAAACAGCAATTCCCTTTCATGAGCTCCAAGAAATAATGGAAAAAACCTATGGGATTGTTTTATATTGAGTTTCATCAAAGAATTCATACTTTTTCATTTATGCAGTGCTGACCTTGAAAAACATGCATGACATTACTCAAGGAAGTTCTGAAGAGTTCTACAAAATATGAGCAAAATATTGTAGTTCAGATAATAAACAATGGATACTTTTCCATTCACCTTCTGTCATATGACGCCGATTTTGATGAAAAATTTGAAGAAACAGAAGTTCTACAAAATATTTCTGTTTGTTAATTAACAAAAATACTGTGCTGTCTGTAGTTAGCATCTGATTTAGCATCCATATTTTTTTACATTGACACTTTGACTCAGAACTCAGAAAAATTATGTTTTCATACACTATAATTTTTTACAAAAATCGGAATTTATGTAGACCACTGAAGCAGAATTTAATAGAACATCTTTGATATTGATAATTTTTGTAGACACATCAAAAATGGGATTGTCTATGAATGAAAATTTTCCAAATTATATAATTATAATTACCTATACAGGGTGTTTCATAATTGAATGCTGATCCTTGAGGGCGATAATCCTTGGATGATTTCAAAGAGAAAAGTTCATATCAACATATGTCCTAAACCTCTTAGTTATTGAGCTACAGGGTGAAGACATTTCAAGAAAAAAATGAGTTTTTCATCATAATTTTTTATCACTCTTAGATATTGTTATGATATTTTGTATACACCTTTTCATTATTAAAGAGCATTTTTTAACGTGAAAGATATTGAAAAATTCTCACCAGTGGCGTCCGTACGGGGTTTGAACTGACAATTTTTGAAGAAAAAAATAGTACGCCACTGATATTTCTGAGAACCAGATTTTTTTTTCAATTCTCATTCATTTTGGAGCAAATTTGGTTCCTAGATTTACTTTCATACAACGTACCGTTTTCGCGTAAAAAAATAAAAACCAAAGAATTTTGTTCCTTCAGTTCTTGGATATTGTTTTTGGTAATTCAGTAGACACCGAGGTAGACACCCACTATAAGTGGAAAAACATCTCGTTTTGGGACTTTTACCAGTGATGTCCTCGTAGACCTGATATTGAATGTTTTGTTTAAAAAAACGCTGTACGCTTCTTATTTCAACAACAACACCCTGTAGCTCAAAAACTAAGAGGTTCAGGACATATTTTGATATGAACTTCTCTCCTTAAAATCATCCAAGGATCATCGCCCTTTAGGATCAGCATTCAATTATGAAACACCCTGTATAATTGTATAATTTTCCAACTTCTAGTATTCAATGCATATTATTATATGTATACAGGATGATTTATGTAGGGCACACATTAGAAGTTATCCAACTTACAGATGGATTAAAAACTTGAAAATTGGTATGCTATAATTCCTAATTTACGATCTACCTGAAATATTTTTAGTTCTCCAGCTATACAGGGTGTGCCAAAACTCTGCACCAACTTTCTTATTTTGAATAGAAACCTACATTTTTTTGACAGGGTTTGATTGGCCTTTTAATTCTGAGGGTTTAGAAAACCTAATTTATGTCAACTTAGCCATCAGAGTGGTCAAGATATGTTGATTTCTTCTGAAAATAATTAATATCATAGTAGTTTACAAAAACATTTGTATGTCACAAACCGTTCAAAATTAGAGCACCAAATTTTTGGAACAGTTAGATAGAAGTCCAGCCAAACTCCTGATGTCCCATTGATGGTCCCATTTTGTACCATATGGGCGCGTGCGATTTCCAAATGCCGCGTTTGAAAATTGCCGAAAACTCAACTACTTAGATCAGTGTCATACCAACCATGACTAGCTGAGTGGACTAATAATGAATTATTGGCATTCAATTACTCCTTCTCACGCTTTTTTATGTAAATAATGAGTCTATAGTTGCTCAAAATTGTGGATATGTTGAATAAATGGTGATGTCAGTTTTTATGCTGTTTGCTATGTTATTGGTCAGATAATCTTCCATTTCCACTCATGAAGCAAGGTTGTCAAGTCACCAATTATAATCAATTTATCAAAAAGATTAGAGTCCAGTCATTGAATAAAAGAGGAGATAAAACATAATATGAGGAAGCAACCAACATGTCCAAATATCAGTTTAATACTCCATAACAAAATATCATGTTGACGAAGAAGACTTGGCAACAATGTGCTGAATGCTGAGAACTGACCAATACAAAATTGAAAATTTATGAATTATTGAATAACTAATATTTCTGAAGTTTCAATCGTATTTCAACACATGGCAACTGTGCTATGGTCTGTTCCTATGAAATATGAAACTGAAAGGTATTTGAGCAAGGGGTAAACCGCGGTCAAAATTGTGTACACCAAACTCCAATTTCACAAGGAATTCCAAGGAATTCCAAGGAATTTCAAGGGATTCCAGTTGTTTGTACAGGGCTAGTTTTATCAATGTTAACCCCCCTTAATCTGCTTTGTTTTTGATCCATTCAAGAAGATTCAAGACTGATTTTTTCAAGATATTTCATATTGATTCCAATCAAATTGAGAGAGTGTTGCAATATCTCTCCAAATATAGGTATACAGAAATATATTGATTTTTTTATATGGAATGCGCTGTATATTCTGATAGATGAAGATTATTCTATATACATATATGTTTGGAATCAGGATGATTTGGGGAATTCAAATTTATCGAAATATACAGGGCGTTTCATTTGAAAAATATATTTATTTCTGTATACCCTGTATATTTGAATAGATATTGCATCATTGTCAAATGAAATCTGTGTGAAAAATTGTATAAAATCAGTTTTGAAATTTTTCTAATGGGTGGAAAACAGAAAAGATAGAGGGGGTTTCACATTAATAAAACTAGCCCTGTACATAAGAATTTGCACTTCACACAAGGAATTCCAAGAAACTCCAAGGAATTCCGGAGAATTCCAATGAAATCCAAGGAATTCCAAGGAAATCCAAGGAATTCCAAGGAAATCCAAGGAATTCCAAGGAAATCCAAGGAATTACAAGGGAATCCAAGGAATTCCAAGGAATTCCAGTTGTTTGTACACGAGAATTATACTGCACTTCACTCAAAGAATTCCAAGGAATTCCAGTTGTTTGTAGCCCAAGAAAATACTGCATTTCACCCAAGGAATTCCAGAGAATTCCAAGGAATTCCAAGGGAATCCAAGGAATTTCAAGGAGATTCAGGGAATTCCAGATATTTGTACACCAGAATTCCACCGCGGTTTACCCCTTGTATTTGAGTGATGATTCTATTCAAGAAATAAAAAAAAAATTGTCCACTCGCCTAAATGGTCACTAATTTATACTGGTGGCTGGCCATGAAATTACTAAAATCTCCAAAATATGTCCATGGATGAAACTATTATCCATTAATGGAATCAACAATAAACCCCACAGGGCCCCTTTTTGTGAAAAATCATAACTTTTTCAAAACACACATGAATGGGAGTATTTTTCCATAAATGTGTTCCTCTGATGGTACTTGATGATGTGTATATCTCAGAATATTATGTCAGGCAAGAATTAACCCCACAGGCCCCCTTTTTCAAGTTAGGAAAAAAAGTCATAACTGTTTCAAAATACATGTGGATGGGAGTTTAATTCCATAAATGTGTTCCTCTGATGGTAATTCATTATGTGTTATCTCACAATATTTTGTAGGGCAGGAATTGACCCCACAGGCCCCCTTTTTTGGAATTTCAAAAATGAATCATAACTTTTTAAAAATACATGTGGATGAGACAGTTTTCCATAACTGTGTTCCTTTGATGGTAATTCTTGATGTGTATATCTCACAATATTTTGTAGAGCAAGAATGAACCCACCACGCCCCCTTTTTCAAAATTTCGAAAAAATATCATAGCTTTTTCAAAATACACATGGATAATGGCTATACCTAACACAAAATTGCTCTTATTTTACTGTTTTCAATAAATCAATGAGGTACTCATGAGGTACATTGTATGTCTTCAATTCCATTCCCTTATCTGATAACACAATAACATTGTGTTATATATATAATAGAGCATTCATTACTTGAGAGAAAATCAGATGGCTACTACTACAAGCCAAAGAAATAAAAAAATTTGGTGTTATCTGTTACAGCCATAGAAAAAGTCTCAGAAAAAGTACAGTGCTCCATATAATGTATAACTGGCATGGAATGCTAATTTTCCACTGGTATGATTTGCAGCATGAGCTGTTTCAGCTGTTGGCTCTGGTGGAAAATGACTAGGTATCATTATAAATATATATATAAACAATATACTATTCTTTTCAATCCCTTGCAACAATAACTACATTTAAAAATGAAAACCGATTTGAAAAAAAAAACACCCTGTATAATCAACCAATTATAATCCACTATTCTTTAGGTTACCTCTGTCATGCACTTGGTCATGCATGAATTCACCATTTATTAAGGTAGGTATTTACATCATTTTTAATTAGACCTACCCACCTAATACTTAAATCCACAACAGCTTCATCGACTTCCATCTTTTCACTACACACCACACACAATATATTATATTTTCTCTATGAAGATTTATAATAACAGGTTGATATTTAATCATTGAATTTGGTTATAAATTTTATAATATGGTGCCTGGTGTCCCAAAATACAAATCATCATATGAAACGAATAAATTAACTCTGCTTCCTGGTCCCTTCCAGGTCTACAAGGGAACACCTCGGGAACACTTGATAAATAATATAAATATTTTATTGTCCATATGACAAGTCCGACAAGACCTACACACCTACATTATCGTAATATCATTTCAATTGCGATAACACAATTACACATGTCTTGTTTTACGAATCCAGAAAAAATATTGAACTTTATGTAAAAATTCTCAATATTTTTCAAATGTTTATATAGATTACTACAGAAAAACAACCTATCTTTAATTTCTTAATATTTTCAAAAAGGAGGAAAAATAGTTTAGCCCCAAGTAAACACCACACACATCACATAAATTATCAATCACGAAGCGATGGACCGATGGTTGAGGTTGAATGGTGAACGCACCTCGTCAATTTAATGCACCGAAATAATCTAAAAAACTTGCGTTGACAAATCGATTGTCTTCCTGTATACATACACTTTTCCAATTAAAAAATGCAAATAGATTACGCGTTTTGTGCAGATTTTAATTTAATCACTCAATGGACCTCACATGGATTACTAGCAATAATAGTTTTTGGTGAAATTTTACGTTCTTCAAAATGCAACAAAAAAAGGAAACGGGGTGCCACTACTGCCACCACGGATACTACTCCACAGCGCCAAAGCCAAAATATCAGACAAGACAACAGACATCCAGCAGACAACAGACAACTCAACTGTGAACTGATTAAATTCAATATGGCGCGGCCTTCTTGTGTTATGCATATCATATTGTCACATATATTGTCATAATTGTGTTATGCAAGGTGTCATGCACGATGTGTCATGTTGTGTCTTATAGTCTGTAGTCTGTAGTGTAAAACTCAAAAGACAGCCAGAGACGTTTGTCGGAACTCGAAATTTGAAAATAATCTCTGTTTGAGATTGAGTATTTTCCTTTGGTAAGCCTAGTTTCGCACTCAGTTCGTACTGGCACTCTTACAGTCTATCGAATATGGGCGTGTCAAGTAATTCGTTTGACCACAATGATGATACCAGAATGGTCAATGGTTGACTCGATTCTAATCAAAAGTCACCGTGGTAACTTTTGTGGGCAGGTTTGAAACGTGACCGGTATTCCCAAACTTCTGCTTGGTCAGACTCATGATACTAAAACCATTGGTTTTGGGTTTTATTATCATGGGTCAGACTGATGGTCAGACTTCATACTTCAACGTATGTGCCCGGTCAAACCACAGACTTGACACAGCCATGGGTTCAGTCACAAGCGTCGAGCTAGGCCAGCGAATCTTTGAAACATCGAGGTCAAGTGACGTCACCCACAACATATGATATTTCTTCCTTCTCTATTGAGCATATATCTACTACTAATATATGACTCATCGCTGTCCTCAAAGCGAGACCAACTTCTGTCTCTATAGGTAACGAAATCAACCAATAGGCGTTGATGCCGACGTAGGGAAAAAAATAAGACAATATGGCTACTTATTTCAAATTTTCCATCCTTCACTTTCCGTCCTCATAGATTCTGAAAGTACCTCTCATTTTGGTCCCCATATATGTACTATTTCTATACATGGAGCATCGCCTATATGATATCTCAACTAAAATGGGACCAAAATGAGAGGTACTTTCTGAATCTATAAAAGGGCGCCGTACATTATGCAATTTAACAGCAAGTTCAATGCAATGCAATTTTGAATCGAACAATGCACATGCGTCTATGATATTTCACGGCAAGTTTCATGCAAGTTTTTTATTTCATATATGAGTAGTAGATATATGAGAAACCACGACTACTACGAGTGAGAGAGATAGCTCAGTGGTCTGTGTATCTGTCTTCCACGGTGGTGACTTGGGTTCATTCTCTGCGAAGCGTCAATATTTTTTTAATATTTTTCACTCAAGTAATTCTTCAAAAATATACTTTTCTGGAAAAAGAGGTTCATTTAGGACAAGTTAGGTTGGAAGCACTTTCCTTTTCCATGCATAAGAGATATTTTTCTTCCTCATATTATCTTATTGAGTCTTATAACCAAAAATAACCTTCTGATAACCTTGAGGTTTCAAAGATACGCTGGTCAAGCTCTTACATATTGAGTTCATTGGTCTAGCCATGGACGTATAAAGCTAAACCTTAGCTAAACACTTGTGGTTCAGTCAGTGACGGTTTCGTGACTATGTCAAGAAAACGCATGAAATAGCTGTTACAGAACTAGGTTAGGGTCCCTTGATGGAATTTGACATTAAAGTCATCTTAACAGGGTACGGACAGATCATAGCTGCATTCTTTTTTAATGATCTAGAGACTTTAGTTTTGTCTACTGGCATCCCTGACATTGCTGTCACGTCACATCCATGGGCGCTACAGAAAATCATTCGAAATTTTAATAATAGGTATGTACAGGGTATTCAATTGTTGAGGAAGATCATGTGGCGAACAAGTTTTGTGATGAAGATCCGATTCTATTCAAAATTGATATCTGGCGTTTTTCGGGGTAAGAGATAATGATTGTTCCGTCAAAATGGAGAAATCCAAGATAACGGATCCATTAGTTTATATAATTACTACTCTATCACATATAGAAAATATGTAGGATGCAAGAGTGAAAATAACGTTTCGTAATAGAACCAGTCCTATTTTTCCTGCAATTTCAAGGCAATTTTAGTAAAATTTTCAGTAATATTCATCGTAGCATCTTGATAAAATACTAATTTTCTCCATAACGTGGCCTGAAACACCAAATAACCTCAAAAAGTACATTGAAGGCTCAAAAAACCTGGAAATAGTGAGAATGAACAAGAAAATATGACAGAAATATCTCAATGTACGGCCACTCGCAATAAATTGAGAAAAATTGCGAGAAAATTGCATTGCCTCAAACTTGCCGAGAAATAGCATAATGTACGGCGCCCTCATAACTAGACGATTGTTCATCAATATTTTGGTATAGTTGAATCAGGAATTCCATATGGAAATTACGTATGATACGCCAGTGACCTCAATATAACCTAAAAAACAACAAATGCCAAAAATCTAGTGTTTATCCCCAGAAATGAATAAAGATGGAACTATATAACTGTTTCACAAACACTTTAGAGTGAGAGGAGACGAGGATCTGTCCGTACCCTGTTAAGATGACTTTAATGTCAATTTCCATCAAGGGACCCTAAACTAGCTTAGCTTTAACAAAATGCACCGAGTTTCAATGGATTTGATACGTAAAAGTTTACCGGTTGGCAAGATTGCCTACACTTTTTGTGCAAATTAGTTAGTAAAAGAGTGTATCAGGTTCCGTTAATCAACCGAAGTTACCGATGCTTTCAGGGCCGGTACCAACAATTTTGACAGTACGAACATTATAGGGATTCCCTTTCGTGCGCACCAAGCGATAGAAAAAAATGAAACTGAAAATAAATCGAATATTATTAATTAACCTCAGTAAACGAATCCATCGCAACCTAACGCAATGATTAAAATAAGAATACTGTTATTTTGTTGTAATTTGTTAATCGAAAAATCAAACCAAAAACTAAAACACGTCAACGTTAGGGTCCCTTAATGTAAACTGACGTATTTGTCATCTCTACAGGGTACGGACAGATCCTCGTCTCCTCTCACTCTAAAGTGTTTGTGAAACAGTTATATAGTTCCATCTTTATTCATTTCTGGGGATAAACACTAGATTTTTGGCATTTGTTGTTTTTTAGGTTATATTGAGGTCACTGGCGTATCATACGTAATTTCCATATGGAATTCCTGATTCAACTATACCAGAATATGGATAAACAATCCTCTAGTTATGAGGGTGCCGTACATTATGCTATTTCTCGGCAAGTTTGAGGCAATGCAATTTTCTCGCAATTTTTCTCAATTTATTGCGAGTCGCCGTACATTGAGATATTTCTGTCATATTTTCTTGTTCATATTCACTATTTCCAGGTTTTTTTGAGCCTTCAATGTACTTTTTGAGGTTACTTGGTGTTTCAGGCCACGTTATGAAGAAAATTAGTATTTTATCAAGATGCTACGATGAATATTACTAAAAATTTTACTAAACATGCCTTGAAATTGCAGGAAAAATAGGACTGGTTCTATTACGAAACTTGCATGAAACTTTCCGTGAAATATCATGGACGCATGCGCATTGATCGATTCAAAATTGCATTGCATCGAACTTGCTGGTAAATAGCATAATGTACGGCGCCCTTCAGAGTTTACTATACTCCAGCATAATTTTTGAGAGGTAGCTGAGGGAACATATGAATTTTACTGAAAGCTCAATATATTTCACCAAAAGAGACTGTTCTTAGGCTGTATACAAGGGTTGACTGAATTTACTGAATGAATTCTGATTTCAAACTGAGCAGTAGTTTATCTATGAGCTGAATGAGCTGAGCCTTATGATTGAGAAATGGTGAAAACCTCGATGTGAATATCTAAACTACTGTACTTATGTAATGTGTGCTAAATATATTTTCGGAAATACAACTCGAAGAATTTATGGAGTGACTAATAACAACTATGTATAAAACTTCGTCTAGGACGAAGAGTAGGCTGATAAAAAGTTATTCGTAAAATGTGCAGGAAAATAAATAATAGAATATACTTCACCCCCATGTTTTACATAATATGATTCTTCCGTCTTCCTCAAATAAAAAGTCATTTTCAAATGATTCATTGATGAAAGTAACAAACAAGTAGGTATACGCAGTATGACTTATAGGCACGTTATTTTCACTCTTGCATCCTACATATTTTCTATTTGTGATAGAGTAGTAATTATATAAACTAATGGATCCGTTATCTTGGAGTTTTCAATTTTGACGGAACAATCATTATCTCTTACCCCGAAAACCGCCAGATATCAATTTTGAATAGAATCGGATCTTCATCACAAAACTTGTTCGCCACATGATCTTCCTCAACAATTAAATACCCTGTACATACCTATTAATAAAATTTCGAATGATTTTCTGTAGCGCCCATGGATGTGACGTGACAGCAATGTCAGGGATGCCAGTAGACAAAACTAAAGTCTCTAGATCATTAAAAAAGAATGCAGCTATGATCTGTCCGTACCCTGTTAAGATGACTTTAATGTCAATTTTCATCAAGGGACCCTAGTCAACGTCAACTCACTTACCGGAAAACTACTAACCGAAATAACCGTTGATTTTTACGAAACATACCCAACCGCAACCCAACCGTTCGGCGATCATCTTCATTTCATTCTTCAATCTTCAAATTAGAAATTACTCATCGTTCACCTCATCTAAAAAGGCACACGGTAAGTAAAATATCATTTTCCAATTTTTTCATTTAATGTTAAAAATTTCAATGTGTTATTAGTAATAATGTCCAGCTCGACAGGGAGAATTCATTTTGTTCTAGATTTGGAATGGAAAAAAAATCCATTATTGTATATTTAAACAAATAAAAACAATTACATTTTATTGCATACACTCCATGCACTATAATAAGTTTCAGCAGTATGCTTTGACAATATAATGAAACTATCTCAATAATAATGGCCATGATGACATGGACAATGGACATTCAATATTCATCACTTCATCACCTATCATTATATGTCCTAAATCATTTCTATATTAAATTAATAATTCCCATTCTACTGTCAAACTATTAGTATTGAGGATTGAAACAAGACATTGTTAAAGTGTTCATACTTACTGTTCCAGGTTTTTCTACAGAATGACCTCAACAAATTTCAATATTGGATTGGGGGAAAGCACCCGTAATTCCAGTAGAGTATTGAGGCCTCCAGGAGGAGGGCATACTGACATATTTGGTGGACCAGATCCAAATCAAGGCATAAAAAGAGATAGTGGACGAAATGCTTCATCCATTCTAGAAGGAACCAATAGCAGAGTTGAACCTAAACCTTCTAGTCCAGTGAAGGCTGCCATGAAGATTCCCACTACAACCCCACAAATGAGCAGTGAGCCAGAAGCTTCCCAGCAATCACGTGGTTCTCGTGTTCCACCTGGTGGATTTTCATCTGGACTTTGGTAGAACTCTGAATATATTTTTTATTGCAGTATAACTTTTGTACTTAATGTATTTTATATTGTGATGAAATATTTGAATATCAAAATTGTTTTGGAATATTTATCTCTATATAAGGTGTTGTATTAACTTTTGAATGTTTTCAATTTTGGAAAAGGCTTGCTAATTCTTACATATTCGATTTTTAATAAATATTCTTCATTGTATTTGATTCTTTTTATTTTGATAAATCCAAAAGCCATTGATGGTAAGTCCCAGCTACACCCATACTTTTATTATTTAGTTGACTTTCTATAGGTTTTTGTCAGCTTTCATAGCTTCGCTTGTCCAGCGGGAAAATTACGAGTTTTCCCAACTTTTTAGGTAAATATCTATAAATTCATTTTCATCAAAAAATCATCCAATGATTAATTTTTTATGTCGCTTTTTTTTTCTTGAATACATGTCCTTATCATTCTAATATGCATCTTTGAGTAGCAGTAGCACACCATCAGTCATTATTGATTCAATACTTAATAGGAATTCAATATTTAGTTGGGTATAGTAACCTTGATTATCAGAAGGTAGTACCATTGATTGATATATTATGCTTACTTGTTGATTGATATTTTACGCATCAAGGGTAGTACTGAACCTTGTCTACATATTCCTTCAAGGAAAAACCTTCAATTCAGCCAGGTACAATAAGAATATTTCAACACTATTGATAATTGATTGATAATGTGGTACAATCATCCTCAATACATAATTATAATTACTAATTCAAATCAATAATTTATTCAGAATAAGTACCTATAATAATCTTATGAGGGCAGTTCATTGTGCTTCAATCTCTGCTTTTTCATTTTTATCGGATATTCATCACAGGAAAACTAGTTAAGTGAAATGAAAAACTTGCTGTTATAAGTGTTATAGATTCTGTGTAGGCCTTGATTTCTTCCATTTGAGATCCTTATTGCTTTCTACATAATATAATAATATGCTCACATTGTTATATTATATAGCATAATTCTGATTATGATAGTGTTTAGAACATCTTTTTCTGGTAGTTATAGTTAAGTTTATGCAAAGTCAGTTGAAGAGATCATCAAACGAATGTCGGGCCGCGCTGCCGCACTCTTTGAACTCTCAAAGGGACCGACGGCTGGCGGTGATATGTTTTTCCAACTGACTTTGCATAAACTATACCAGTATATTCCACCTGAAGAAGCTACTGAGTTAGGGAACCATGCATGACCTGTGATTAAGTATTTTGTGGAAATCTTATCGTTTGTGAAGTTTTTTACATGTACAGGCAGCTCCTCACAGAAGATCCTGGACTTCGCCTTTTGAACATTGAAAATTTTGTACTATACCTATTAGCTGATGCCCATTGCAATTTGTGTTTTCCAAATTTCCAATAAATTCATTATTATTATTAGTGAAAATATAGTTTCTCCTTTTACTAGAATACATTAATATCAATAATGCACCATACTCTGATCTGATAGGTGAATACAACAAAAAGGATAATAACTAAATTGGTTATGAAGAACATGGCACACAAAATGTTTCTAGTCATATGGAACAATTCGTGATACAAAGAAAGAGCAACACAGGAAAAGACTGATGAATACCTAATAGATAATCATTTTGTAATGGATGAGTCTTCCCTCAGGAAATATTATAGGGAAAAATCTACCTTATGTTACCCTATATAATTTTCTTAAAATTAAATTAAAACAAGGAAAAACACCAACTTTCACTTGTTCATCACAAAACATCAGATATGCAGAATAATTAGTTTTCCCAAACATCAGCTTCTTTGATGCATTTCTTTTTTCATGAAACCATGGTCAATTTTCAATGATTTATTTGAATGGCAAAATGTTTTTTAAACCAATAAAATTGTTTTCGAAACGCCAAATTGTAAACATTTTTAATTAAAAACTCAATTACAAATTAAACTTATCCAAACAACTAACATATCAATAACTAAAACATCTATTTTAATAATATAAGTGACTTTTGAATGTTCCAACCACCCACTAATTTTGCGTTCTGGAATGGTCCAAAACCATGGACAGGACAATGATTTTTCTTTCTGGGCAGGTTTATTATTGGCCTGACAGATAATCTATATATAAAAGTCTTGGATTATTTTTGAGTAGATTTATGGAGGAAAACTAGAGAAAGGTTAGTATGTTTAGGTATATATAGTCTCTTCCCAGGTATTTAAATCCAAGATTGTTTCTGGACAGGCCACAAACGCTCAATTAGTGATTGGTGGAACCATGCCCAAGTCAGTCCCATGTGAGATCCCATGTAATAAACTTCTTTTAGGGACTATTGATTGCAGATCAATAGCAAAAAAGTAACTACCTGTTTCTGGAGAGGGCCCAGATGCTAAATTAGTGATTGGTGGAACCATGTAGGAGTCAGTCCCATCTAATAAACTTCTTGTAGGGACTATATTGATTGCAGATCAACAGCAAAAAAGGTTACTACCTATTACTATATAAAATAGTTCATGATCAATAATTCCAGTTCAACAAAACACAGAGAAAAATTGTCTTTGAGTGATAGTCACATTCTTCTTCATATGAGGAAACACAAATCTTGATGGTACCTAGAAATTAGTTGAAAAAATAAAATCACTGAATTCATGAAGGTAAAATCCTTACATCTCAGTTTATAACTTTCAGTGGTAAGAACCCACTTTCATTTTTTTAGGTCTTCTGTGCTGCATAGACCCTTCAATATCTGATGTATCTGACTCTGTTTCATTGAAAACTGAATCTTTAATATCCACATCTAAATTGAATGTTCCAGTGGCCTTGGCTTTTTCTAGGGTACGAACTGTAAAAATATGTAGGTACTAATTATTGATAGGCATTCACCTATGTATGAACAATGGACATATTGATATCTTATAAAGATTCAATCTATTATGACACTCATGATGATTATAACCTATCTGCCTATTTTATTTTCAGTGTATGTTGGGCAGTTATTGATAAGAAAAAAGAGAATATTCATTCTTACTTTGAGCTTCTAGGAGATTGTTTTGTCTCTTGAGGTCCTCAATATCTTGTTGATGAGAACAATTCTTCTTTCTCATGAACAGGATATATTCTGCAGCTTTCTTCAGAATTTGAGCTCTGCTAGCCTAAAAAAAAATAGCTACAAATGCATGAATGATGCATGTATATCTGATTTATTTCATGATCAATTTCAATATAGAGGAAACATACCACTTTTTCTCCATTTAAGGCAGGCACTGAATCTCTCAAACTACTGAAGCTGTCTTTTATGTGGTCCCGTCGTTTCCTCTCCAAAGCATTGTGGTGGGCCCTTTTCTCTGCCTTGAAAAAATAATATTTTTCACTACATCTGATAACAAATATAGACAACTTGTTTTGGTGAAATCATAACTACACTTAGGAAATATACAGGAGTATTATTATTGTTGCCTCAAATTAAAAAAATACAACCATAACACATCATTAGATTATTAGTGTAAATAAATCATGAATTATTATGCAAATCCATTTCATTCAAGGGCAGGTACATTTTAATACAAAACCATATTTCCCCTTTATACACAGTATACCTACTTGAGAGTAATATTGACCTCCTGAATTTTGCCTAGGTGTTGCTTGTCGTGAATCGGAATCATCACCTTCCTGAAAGGTAATCGTACTAATATAATACAGAAAATGTATTGATCCACTTGAAAATTGTATTGTTATGAAAATACCTACATCACTTTCCACGTCGATGTCACGGTCATCATCACTCATTTTAATTTTGAGAATAAGAAATGAATGTTAGATGATCGGGGAGTCAGGAGAAGTATTAATTCTGCCTTATGTGAATATAATTTTCTGTTTTCCTTATAAACTTCAGAGAAAACCATCCACACAAATAATCACCAACACCGAGACTCGAGACCGAGACCGAGAGACGAGACGATCAGTGCTGCCAGCTGAATCTGCTAATTTAACCACAGAACATCTCAACAGGACCGTATTAAAATCACAAATCCGCGAGTTTTACTCTCTTAACTTTGATAATCCTCACAAAATCTTCACACGTTTTTTTTTTTTCATCTGAAATTGACATAATAAGATTGGATATTGAGAATTGGTAGAGCTGATGATATTTTTTCACCAATCTTGAATTTGATGATTTATTTTGCCATTATAAAATAATTTAAAGATCATTTTCTCTAAATTTTTGATTTTTCACTCCTCGTTACATCTTATAATGAAATTTTTCATTACATGAGAAAAATTTTATTATAATGAGAAAAAAGTTATTATAATGAGAAAAAAACTCATTAAACGAGAAAATGTCATTCAAATGAGGAAAAAATTCATTATAATGAGAAAAAAAGTCATTATTATGAATTTTCAGAAAAGAAAAGGGTGCAAAAGACACGAGAGAGATATTTCATTCACATTCCCCGTTAAACTCGGTTTTTCGGTAAAGGTGGTAGGAGGCAACTACGTCATAATGACGTCAACATTAACTATTTTTTAATTCCTATTTCTTTCACTTTACCCACTTCCACAGTTTACCTGTGTATCTTACTTCGACATCCACTCCATTTATTTTCGATTCGAATGTTCCCATCATATCCTCCATTTTTCACATTCATCATTCGTAAACAATAATCAAGTTTGCCTTTAACCACCTTCACCAACTATGGAGTTGGTATTTGGTAACAAGGGCAGGTAGGGGAGATGTACCCAAACGGAAATTACGTCATGGTTGAACACAATAGGTCGCGTGCACGATGACCGACCCTGGAGGCAAAATATTGAAACACAACCTCATTCTTCTGTAAATTATTGAAACACAACCTCACTTTTTTATTTGGTTACAGAGGAATCAAAGGATTGAAATAGTTTTTCACAATATTTTGGCATACAAATCGTGTTTTTTGCACTATTCATTAATTCAAGCATGCCTTCGCATTGTGCTGTTGTACAATGCACAAAAAATGCAGCAAGAGACTAAGGAATATGGGGTGCGTTTTTCATTCCAACATTTTATCATGCGCATGAATCGAAGTAACCATCAAACTGTTGCAAAATTCCGCTGGAATGTTGATGGACATCCATCAAACTGTTGTAATAAAATGCGCACTTTTAAATCGCATTTCGAGAATCCAGCAGTTTGGAGGAGATTGACATGACAGTTGACACATTTTAGTGTTTTTTTGTTTTGATTTGATAGAAAACAATTAATATTGACGATTTTTGAGATTCTTGAGAGATTTTAGGAGAAAGAGTCAGTGTTAATCAATAAAGTCGAATTAGCTTTTTCTGATTCTCAAGATACATGATGACTGACACACAACAATATCCGTGTTTCCATCAATGTGTTGTATAAACCATTGTTCAATCCTTCCAGCATAAATTCCAACAGAACAATTGGTGACGTCACGACAAAAAACCGCATCTATCAGTGCGCACTTTCTTAGATGGAATGAAAAACACGCCCATAATTTTTCAGGTAAAAAGTAATCTCACATAGTTATCATTATGAAATGTTGTCATTCCTTATTAAAATTCCTTCTGCCTTCTGCCACTCCTGCAATACAAGCTAATACTGCTAATAGATTGAAAATGTCTACAACACACACGATCGTCAGCATGTCAGACCAGTCCTCCCGATTGATTGCATGAATCCAATCTTCTTGTATTATTTTAGAAATTTCAGGTGTATTTCTATTAGCTCCTATCGCAGAAGGAATTTCGATGAGAAATCAGAGAAATTACCAAATTTCAAAAATGAAAACTATAGGTGAGTGACTATTATAGTAGGTACTTACTTTTAAATCATAATGTACCATCCGGATTCCTTCATCTTCCGCTGCAGTTTTTGTGCATTTTACAACAGCACCATTGTCGTTCTAGTAGACAACCTAGTTAGGTAGTTAGTAGGTTTTCATTTAGATCGACAATGACAGCACAATGTGATGGCATGAGCGACTTGATGAATAGCGGCAAAAAACGATTCGTATGCCAAAATAATTGTGAAAAACTATTTCGATCACTTGTAAACGAATAAGAAAAGTGACATTGTGTTTCAATATTTTGCCTCCAGTGTCGGTCATCTGACAGTTCTTGCACACAACCCATGAAATGGGATTATCAGCTTCAACCATGACGGGTAATGTAAATGAAATATCCCTGGGATGCTTTCGTATTTCTGCATGATAATGGTGGGTACAGATGACAGCTTACAATTTACAGCGGAAAGATGGATATTAAAGCGCGAAAGTGCGAAAAACGAATTCAGAGTGGACTAGAAAATAAACGTCAAACGTCAATACAGTGCTCAATTTATTATATATTTATTGCTATTTAAGGAAACTGACTAGAAACAAACTTTGAATAAGTACCTATACCTTATTTAGGCTTTATATTATGGAGTTATATCAAAGAATGTATATTAATGAATATGTGGAGGTGAAGCAAAATATCATCATTGCAGCTCTATACTATTATTATAGAGTGCACAAGCATAGAAGATCCAGAAGATTTTGGGTCTGCCCTACTCTCTTGGTAAACCAGAGGAAGGAATAGGGAGATGAAAATAATTTAATGAAGGATGAAGTTGAATAGTGCCTGCAAGATCAGGAACTATTTCAGAATGAATGAGCAACAGTTTGAATATCTGATTTATCCAATAATACATAAACTTGAAGTGGTTCGAGAACCGATTAGCACTTGTATATTGAGGTAAATACCTATGTGTTCATGAATGTTTCTGTTTGAGATAATCATATATATTACCATTTTCAGATATCTTGCTTCAGGGGACAGCATGATTTCAATAGCTCATAACTTCCGTGTTGGAAAAAGTACAACTTCCCATAATTATAATCAGAGAAACCTGTGTCTACTCTTGGCCTAACTTAGGCCGAATGAGGTTGTGTTCCAATATTTTACCTCCGGGGTCGGTCATCGTGCAAGCTACCTACAAGTTTCGTATTATTTTTTCCCTACGTCGGCACCAACGCCTATTGGTCAATTTCATTTCCAATAGAGACAGAAGTTGGTCCCGCTTTGAGGACAGCTATGCTTTATATATGAGTAAAGGACTTTCACGCTGGGTTGATAGTTGCGCAATACTTGGTAACAATGTCGTGCCAAAACTGCACATCGAAAAATACTAGTAACTTTCGAAATGGGCGAACCGCGTTATCGATTTAAGTTGGCAAAAATGTACACCGATGCCAGATTTATTTCACATTTCTAGAAGCGACTTGTTGTGATCAGCTGATTGAGAATTATCCATTACTGACAATTTGTACTTTCAAGGAATTGTTTGTGATTTATTTGTGGATCATAGGTGAAATTCGATTTATTCAAAATGCCTAAACCATTGAGTGCGCAGGCGCAGAAGGTGGTCCATTACTTCCAATGACTGCTGTGAGAGATGAAAGTTGAATGATGGTATTAATAATGATATGTTGTGTTGTCCGAATGATACAAATATGATTTGTGTTAGTTTATTGTAATGACATAGTGGTTTCATGAGTTTTTGTGGGTTCTCCTCATGAATGATATTGAGAATATTGAAGTAAGAACAACTCTTGTTGTCTATTTCATAATTTCCAATATAAGCAGATGCACCACTATTTATTTTCCCACGAAATAAAATCAATTGATCGAATTTCTATTTCATTTCACCAATTTATATTAATCGAAAAACATTCAAAACGATAAGATAACCTCAAAATTGAATTCGAAGTTTTTATTATTTTCATTCAGAAAATGTGAATACTGATCAGTTTTATTAAAAAAAATTAATTCAAGACAATTGTGTATTGGCAGAAAAATAAGTTATTTTTAATGTCAATATCTGTGATTATTTGTTGATGTTGTTATATACTAAATCATAAGTTGTTATTCTTTATAAGAATTTCATTATCATTAAATTCCATATTCAGTATATTGTTTAGGTGCATTGTTCATTATATACAAATATTGAAGTTCATTTGTCAACTTCGAGTGCTGATTTTGAAACATAAACGGACGGCTTTTGAGTTGGTTCCAAAAAACATTATAACTTCCGACGATCGAAACACTAGACATATCCATATTCGGGCGGTTGGTCATTCAGTCATTTCCATTCAACTGGCAACACTGTACGTGTTGACATATTGACGTCACTATGAACCCAGCGTGAAAGCCACTTTAGTAAGATATATGCTTAGATCAGTATGATCACAATTTCACATTAATCATTAATCACATATAGCATATAGTCATATAGTCATCACGTCATTGATCACGTCCATTGTCCTTTTGTTGAATATTTTCTAGATAAGTTGATATTACTAAAATAAATAAATTGAAGTGTTTATTGGCCTGTTCGCTGATCGTTCATAGTTCATTGGGTTACAGGTGGTGATCATAGAAGTACAACAGGAGAAGATAAATTTTCTATTACAAATTTCTACACAATGGATGCAGTTATAAGTGATTTGAGCGCATCCGAAAATGTTGTCTTGGTTCATTTCGCCAAGGATACGGATTTTAGTGGAAATTTGAAAAAATTCAGTGTTCATAAGTCAATATATTCAGAAGAACTTGAGTCAGCCACACATGACTCTGCAAGTGTTGTACTATGTTGTGAAATACCAGATGAAAAGTACACTACTGAATTTCTGACACATTTACTGAAAGTGCTAAATCCTGGTGGCAAACTGCTAATTTTGAACATATTGGAGAAAGAAAAAGTGAAGTTCAGTCTTATCATGGCTGGTTTCATGAATGTAAAAATTTCCAATGGCCTTATAACTGCTAACAAACCTAAATTTGAGCTGGGTTCATCAACACAGCTCAAACTTCCAAAAATCCCCACTTCAGTATGGAAACTGGATACAGCATTAGATGAAGAATCAGAAACAATTGATCCTGATGAATTACTTGATGAGGATGATTTAGTCAAGCCAGATCCAATGTCCCTTCGTGTATGTGGAACCACTGGAAAACGCAAGGCTTGTAAAGACTGCTCTTGTGGTCTAGCTGAAGAACTGTCTACTGAAGCACAAATAGGCAAAATTATTGATACTACTGATGCCCCTAAATCTTCTTGTGGAAGTTGTTATTTGGGAGATGCTTTTCGTTGTAGTTCTTGCCCATATTTGGGAATGCCTGCATTCAAACCAGGAGAGAAAATTCAATTACTGGGTCATCAGTTACAGGCTGATGTTTGAATTGTTTTTTATCTTGTTCTGGAATAATGTTCCTACCATGGGAACATATTCAAAATTTCTTTTTGTATACATGAAATAAAAATATTTTGATTGACCTATACATATTTATTTTATTTAAACTCCTATCCTTTTTTGCTTCCAGAAAAAATTGTAAATCTAGAGGAACTTCTATTGCTTATTATAAGCTAGATTTGGTGATGGTCTGGTCCAGGGTCTGGTACAATAAATCATTTATCTCACAATAAGTCATTTATCTTGTCATTTATGTACCAATTATTTATAGGCAGAATCAAAAACATAATACACAAAATACATATTTTGTGATATCAAGCTGAAAATGTGATTTGTTTTCAATTTGCCTAAAATTTCAATGAATCCTTGGTTTTTTCTCAGGTGGTGGCTTAATCTTCTCTTGCTTGATCTCAGTCTTTATATCTTTGTTTTCTGTTGCCCCATTTTCAGAATCTTGCTTAACAGGTGCTGAGGGTACTAATTTAGGTTGGGGAGGACAGGGCAGGGGAAATTTCCTGATCAGTTCACCTAGAAGCATGTCAACCCTTTGACGTTGAAATAGTGAACTTGGTTCTTCCCTAGGTTTTTCCTCTTTTTTTGTCTTTTCAATGTTGACTCTTTGTGACTTGAAATCCCATGAGTAGCCTTTACTTGGGTGGTATTTGGCAAAACTAGAAGATTCTTCAAAAGATGACTGGATATGATGCACTGCAGAGAGCTTGAACATAATTACAAGAATAATCACTAAGATAAGTAGGTGGGTACATATTCATGAAAAAAAAAAAAAAAAATAGAAATTGATATTTACCAGTCTTGAATTCAGTACACTGGCAAGATCAGGAGCTTGATACACAACACCAGCAATTATATAATAGTCTGCAAGTGGAGTCACTTGTTGTGGACTGTGCCTGTGCTGCTTCCGAATAACATACAAAATAGGCTCCTGGACATGAAGTAGTACATATTCCAAACCAGTCATGTTTCTAAAACAATTATATTAATATAGCTGAGAAAATTGATATAAACAAACTACATACTGTAATTGTTCTGGGTTCAGCCTCTGCATTTTAACAATTTCATTATTACAAGTTCTATCAAAAAATGGGTTTGACCCCTGAGAAAAATAATCCATCACATTAGCTGTATTAAGGATAGGAATCCAGGCTGAATCATGCCAAGAAAGACTCAAAGGATTATCTGGGATGCTTGCAGCAGGCATTCCTAATCTGCTAGCCATCATTTTTAAGATTCCTGTTAAAGTTATTGACTTATCATCCCACAACTCCTACTGTTCTACTACTCCCACACTACTCCTGTGCCTTAGACCCTACCACATATCACACCACAGGGCTACAGGGCACACAGTGTCACAGTACTCACAGTCTCTTAAAAAATTGAAATGGTGAAAATTTTCGTTTTGTTAGGTTAAGTGGGAAAATGGGGTGGGGAGTGGAAACTGGTGGAACTCGTGAACTCAGTGAAAAAGTTATTTTTAGTTGAAGTTATGATGAATAATGAAAATGAAAAGGTAAAACTTGATTGAATTAGCAATATGGAAATTAAATAAGTATGTAATATACATACACCTATATCCTACAGTCTGTACCCTGTTTGTAACCATTACCATCATTCAACTTGCAACTGCGACTGCGATGCTTTCATACCTACTATTCTTTGAACATCGTGTAGTCAGATGGTTAGGTCATACTGGTCATAATGAATAATAATATGAAGCTATTATTCAGTTTGGTTGATATTTTTATCCACCTGTATACACAGTTGCATACCAAGAAAAAGTATTATTTTGTCTAATAATGAAATAATAAATAATGCCCGCTCTTTGAAAAAAACTGATGGTATGTCAGTCATATGTCAAATTGTCAATAGGTTTTAGGTTTGTTCTCGTTCGAAAGAAAAATAATTGGTCCGAAACCATCGGAAGTATTCGGACGTATATGGCAGTTCCACGGAACATGGAAAATGCCAATAGTTTTTTGAAACTGCGCATACTTCTGATTGTTTCACTGTATATTTTTCGAAGGAGAACAAACCTAATGTCAGGGTGAGTCATTGAAATGGGAAAGTGAGATAACGACTTCAAACATTTTTGTGATGGTCTAGGCTCATGAGAAGCATATTTCTAAATTACTTTGCGTATACAGGGTGACTCAAATATGCGTGGCGTATGAAAGTTATACTTTTTATTATAGGACACCCAGTATTTTATTACATTTTCGGATTCTCCTTTGTGAGCTGATTTCATCAATGCATCACACTTGGGTCTAGCAAGAATGATTACAGAGATATAGGGTGTGAAAAAAGGAGATATTTCAACTTTAGGATTTTTCTGGGTCGAAACTATTCATTATTGGTCAAAACGGCATACATGTCCCTCTCTTAACTTTTGATTTACTATCTACTGATATTTAATTTGGACGAATACAGGGTAGTTCAGAATTCAGAATTATGAACTTTCACGTCGATAATTTTCAGATTTCAAAATAATGTAATATCTTCTCAATATTGATTCGTCCTTTCTTCTGTCACAGAAAAAAATAGTGTATCATACACGGGAAAAATATCAGATTTTAGCTCCTCCCTCCGCTATAATGCGTCGGGAGACAACACATCAACCTGGAGCTAAAATCTACTACTTTTTTCCCTTGTATAATAAATAACTAAATTTGCTATCGATTGTCAAAGTTAGACGAGTTAAACCTGGAACACCCTGTAAAAGCATTGGACTATGATATTCAATATAATTTATTTCTTCCAAAAGCATCCCAATGCAATCACGAGTAGGTGCATTGAGTATTTTTCAGGTGAAATTGGAGGTTCTTCCTCTACATGACCATCTAGAATATCTTATGGATTGCTGCAAAATTATAAATAATGAATGGAAGAGATCCGACACAGCACGGTTACACAGCTTGAAGAGTTCCTGCAAGGAATTACCAACATCACTTATCCTTCTACGCGATAGGATTCTCATTGGTCATTCGAAATTGTCAATTATACCTAGCATGACAAATGCATGTTTTGTGGAATCAGTTGTGATTGACGAAAATTTCAGAGGACAAGGGTATGGTTCTTACTTGATGAAAGAAACCGAGGAGTATTGCAGAAATATTTTAAGTTTAGACAGAATATATCTATCAACAAAAGGACAAGAACCATTCTATTGTAAACTGGGATATACTGAGTGTTTGCCCGTTTCGATATATGGAAATCATGTATCCAAATCATTACTTGATCATAATAATCATGACAGGAAAGAAGGTAAAACCACAGCACATGCGAAAATTCCACCTCCACCTCCACTGCCACCCGATTTCTCATTTATTAAGCAAAAAACATTCATGATGAAAGAATTATGAAGACTTTTCTTCAAAATACTAATTGTGCTATTAATATTTTATATAGGACTCTGTCCAAGTTCATACAAATAGTAAATTACAAATTAGAGGTGGTATTTTTTTAATAACATTTTTAATAATAGGTACTAATTATTTAGAGATAATCCTTAAAATTTTGAGTTATGAATTTTTTATCTCAATAAGTCCTGAAGATAATATACATTTTTATCTTGATGTTTTTGTTTGATGGTTACCAGTTTCTATTTGTAATAGAAAACTTCAGGATCTTTTCCTGAAAAATTGAGTGTTTGTAAACTTTGTCTTGTCACTTTGCCAGTAATGCTTGGTAGATTTTAGAAATAATAATCACCTACCTTGAGAATAAGAATGACAAAAAAATCAGATAAGTTTCATTAAATTCATCTATTCTGTATATTTTTACCTGATGCTCATACAATAGATTGCCATGAATAGTTTTAAGATAACATAAGTATTTTGATAACTAAAATAACACCACAAAGTGATACATAAATACAATTTTTGTTTGCATAATTATACAATTCAATAAATATATTATCATTTATTACTTCACACATAGATTAACAATGACTTGAAAAAATGCGTTATATTAACATACCTGGTCCCATTAAAATCAACAAACTAAACATTGGAACTTCATTAATGAAGTGATCATAATTTTTCATTGTGGATGTTTGTCACAAATACCAACTACCTTTCCATAGTGTTCAGGTTGAGTGAGGCAGTCAATTAAAAATTTTCCAAGACTGTGCTTGGATATTACTCTTCCTGGAGATGCATCATGTTGTACTTGGTAATCAGAACAAAGTTGATCTGAAAATTATTTTAAAGAAGATCATTCTTATCAGATCATCAATAAAAAGCCAACTATAACTACTGCAAAATCCACATTGTATATATAAGAAAGGTAGTAGAGCGGATATATCTATTGAAATGATATATCCATTTTCAAATTGGAAACCCAAAAATAGAAGCAAGTTATTCATGGCATAAGAGCATAAGCGTGATAGGACGCCAAAGTTAATCAAACAACACCAATAACGAGCTGAAAATGGCACAAACTTAGATTTAGGATCCATTTCCTGTGTGATCACCAAAAAATGTCCATTCATATAAAAAATTCGGAAAAAAATCAAAATTAAATTTCTCATTTCCTATAAGGTATGGGCCCATTCAGCATACTGTCATTATGTGGTCATTATCAAGGGATTGTCACAGTTTTAAAATGATAATCACTATCAATGCCAGAAATGGTTGGATGAAAATTTAAAAAAATGTATCACATACACAATATGATTTTTTTTCTTCTAAATCATGGAATAACAAATGAAAAAAGGGTGAATGTGATGAAGTTGCTACCAAATTTTTTCATCTCTTGGAGCGCACGAAAGGGAATCCCTATAATGTTGGAAACAACGTGACTTGGTATGTTCATTTTCTGGAAAGGTTCCATTTATTATGGAAAACACAAAATCGCCAGTCTGCCTGGGCAGCCTGGGGGACATAAATAGAGGGCAAGCATTGAAAGTTTGCCATGTGTTAATCAAGTCCTGATATTAACTGTATTTATTGTTCATATATCAACAAAGGTCAACTAGACCCATTTTATTTTGGAATCTTCCAATATACAGTGTGTGAATTTGTGAAGTGACTCTAGTGAAAGGTGATGAATTATCAATTCAAATTTCTTTTTTGTTCAGCTACAGCTTACTTCAGTAGAATGAATAAAGAGAAACACTAAAGTCTCTCTTCTAATCTATAATTTACTGCAAATCTTGCTGCATAATAGGTTGGTACATCAAAGTGTGACCCACTTTTTTATACTCTCTAATAAAATATGCAAAATTATTCAAACATGTTTGATATTTTGTCTTGTATTTCGTTTATGGCTAGAAATGTTAATTTAGAAAAATAGATGAAGGATAGTAATCATTAGTAATTGATCTGAATTGAGCTATTGAACCAACTTCTTTCAAAAGTGCTTTCCTATACACAGGTTTCAGGTTTTCAAAAAGTAATTTGAAGATCCTGAGTCTTGTCCTGAGATGTGAATCAATTTATTTGCATAAGTAATCACTTTTTTTCACAAAATATATTTTTTGAGATCTGTACCATAAAGTATATAGTACTGCTCATCAATAATTTCTTTATTCAATACTAATAATTAGAACCCCATAATCAAAAACTTCAAATCTTACCTGTAATATGGGGTGGAAAACAAGCAATATACTTTAGACCAGATGATTTCAAACAGTCATACATTCTCTGATGATCAGCATTGACATCTTGGAACATAGGCATCACTTTTTCTGGATTTAAAAAAAGCCATGCAGATATACAGACAGACACAATCTCGACATTCAATTCTTTCATGGCCTTAATAATATTTTTCATTCCTTCACTCATCATAGTAGTTGGAGCCAAGTCATTATTGGTTCCCAATACAACAACTACTGCTGATACATTCCTGATAGCATTCAAAACATCTCTGTACTCTAGGACATCTCCTTTGACTACCTCAACGCTGTTTCTCAAGTGATCAGGCAGCCTAGCTGGATCTCTGACGAATGCTCTTACATTGAGACCTAAATTGTGAAATATAAATAATATTTGGAACAAAGATGTAGGTATACACCACTTGCCTTTCTGTACTGCTGCTTCAACGGCACAAATGCCGGTCATACCTGTAGAACCGAATATCACAATTTTCTCCATTGTTAGTGCAACAAATAGGAATAGGAATGAAATGAACTGAAATACTGATGAATATATATATATATAGTTAAATTAAATTCAAAAGCGTACGTCATGTCATGGATTTTTAACTACAGTTCCTAAATGTACTTGACACTGCTGTTTTGACGTTTTTTGTCGGACAGTAGACAAGCAGTGACAATCAAACATAACCACCATTGTCTGCTAAATATGGAGAAAAAATCTAGTGAGCTGGAGCAGACAATGATAACCACAAACGATTTTGAAGCAAATCATGTGTTTTGCCAGACAAAGACAAGAATATATTTTTCGCTTAGATAAAGAAAGGATCCTCGCATCTTCCTTCCTCCACAAGCAGTGTCAAGTACATTTAGGAACTCTAGATTTAACTACCCACTAAAACGTCAAGGTTGGTAGAGCTGATGATTATATACAAATTCTCATCAGCTCTACCAACCTTGGGTAACGTCAACAAAGCAATGAGCAATGATGTTGAACTGTCAACCTTCATCTCCATCTTTCGTTTTTGGAATTTCCTCATTTGCTACATAAACAACTTTCTAAATCTTACAATCATCTGATATGCTGAGATTCGTGTTATTTGATGAGTATTTTCCGCAAAAAAAACATTTTCACTATCACCAGTTGGAACCACTGAAACGTGAGGTCAGTGTCAAAGTCAAAAATCTCAAAATGTTGCCGGATAGCCTAAGGACTATGGCCCGTTTTATCGAATATTATCGAAAAATATTCGAAAAAAATTGGGAGAATATTTGAACAGACAGAAAACCTCAAATTATCGAAAGACTTGAGCCGACTCACGTTTTTTTACTCTAAATGTGTAACTTTACGACCAATTCTTACATTGGCGGAGGAGAACGATATCGTAAAAATATGTTAAATGACAAGAAAATCATGAAAATAGAAGTATATTTATCAGTTCTACCAATCCTGCCTCACGTTTCAGTGGCGCGTTTTGGTGGACAATAATAGAGAGTTAACGTTAACTCAACGTTAACGTAGAAATTGACAGCTACGCATGCGCATTTTTCAATTCTTCACGTTCGCGTTGGTAGTGGGGGTGTACGTTAACCGAACCAAACTCGAAATATGCCGATGAGTCGAAATCATCAAATTCGGGATCCTTAAGGAGTTCTGCATCAGGGCAACCTTCCATTTTAACACGAATGAATGTTTTGATCTAAACAAACAACCAAAACTGACCAATACAAACCGATAACATAATTTGTTATAACGTTACGATGACAGTGACGACTTCAACTAAATTTGAAGACAATACGTAAACGTTATTTTTCGTACTTTAACGTTTACGTGGAGGTCTACGTACAGTGATTACTTCAACTCTCTATTATGTTTTTTCCTTATCACGTGATTCATCCTAGAGTCACTGGTATGGTATGAGTTATAACCACGAAACTATTTGCCTTGATAACTAATACCATCCAGTGACTCTAATTCATCCTGGTTAGGCTCTTGTGAATTCGGTAGAGATGAGGTACTGCGCTGTACTTATTTGAGTCGAATAATACTAAATTCATTACAATTTTAGGGTCAACTCCACGGCCTCATAATTTTTCAGTGTGACGTCACGCTGTCTGCCATTTTGAATTGGTTCAGATTTCAAAATGATTCCTTAGGAAGAAATAAGAAATCATCAGTTGAAATCGTTCAATTTTAAAGTATAATTATTGTGAGATTTATACAAAAAAACTGCAAATAGAAATCACTTAAGAAACTAGAACAAGAACCTCACTCAGATGCTCTGATAGAGAGAATGACTTTGGGGATTCAAAAGTTAGACATATTTGGCATTCTATCTACGAAGTCATTATACAAATTTTTTTCTCATTGTAATTACTTTGTTCTTCTTGAATCGATTTTTTTTCTTTATAATGACTTCTAACATTGATATATCTCTGTTATAAAATCCAAAACCTTATGTAACTTGTAACACATCACCGAATAAAAAGTAATATGCAATAGGTGAGATGTTTATAAGCGGAATCACAATCATTGGAGTGATTGGTCAGCCGCCCGATTGAACACTTCATTTTCCTTGGTGCCGACAGTAAGTGCGACTACTGGATTTTTAGCACTCTACTTAGACCTCACAGCCAAAAGAAAAGTTCATATAGCAGCAACAAGCTGGCAACGCCGCATCGTGAACGCATAGGAGCGGGATTTTCATATTCAAATTATCCGAAAAAACTTATGATCATTACAGCACTTCTTTATAATAGGTAGAGAAACTTACACAGTAGTAGTTAACTATATAATCCATTCTTGAATATTCTATGTACCTACACCTGCTTGCTATATATTCAGAAAGTCAGACAACACTCATTTGACTAAAACAATTGAAGATAGGTAAACTGGTAAACATAGTTTCCCAAACAACACAAAACAAATTCAAATGTTTAAAATTTCAAAGCCACATGAAGCAACTGAATAATCATCAAAAGTCTCTTTGTGAAAGCAGAGCTATTTTGATAGGTACAGTTATTTTTTGATTTCATCCTAGTAGTTTTCAGGAATGAACAGCAGCCTTGATAAACTTGTTATAAACGTCCATAAAATATCCGAAAATGAAGCAGTGCTCTGGTCATTACAATTTAAAATGGACCCACATACAAAAGTACCAATTTCTAGGACATATTTTACCTCATCAGCCGAGGAAAATTTCAATTGTTCCCGTGAAAACAAGTTGACCCTTACTTATGAAAGATTCAAAATACATTCGGAGAATATCAACTGTGTTAAAGTTGAGAATTTCGAAAATTCTGGGTTAATAGCTGGGAAACCTGTGTTGAATATTCCCACAATGATAAGGTGCCAGAATTGTGAGACTAATTTTCCAACAAGGTACCAATATCAAAGACATCAATGTGAGTTTGATGCTGAAAAAGTGGTTTTAAAACCTGAAACAGACTGCAGCAACATCGATCCTAATGATACAAATAATAAAGGTGATAAACACATATGCGAACTTTGTGATAAGCAATTTGTGAATAAAAATAATTTAGAACGTCATCAGGCAAGTCATGAAATTATCCTAAAGAATATATGCGAACATTGTGATAAACAATTTGTTACTGAGAATAGATTGAGAATACATAAAGAAAACCACTGCAAGAAGGCAGGTGATGTTTCGAAATTTTATAGAAGTGATGTAGCTGTTTGGAAGTGCAGGAGATGCCATGAAGTTTTTTCTTCACCATTGTCCGCAAAGTATCATACCTCAGTTTGTATGGAGTACATCAATTATGAATCTGCTGAACTGTCAGATGGTAAACAATCATTCATTTCACAGAATGGAGAAAAAAGGTCAATTATTCCTGGGAATGAAAATGCAGATATATATTCAGATGAAGATAAAACTATTGAAAAGGTGCAGACCGAGCTATTGTTACAATGTGAATTTTGTAACAGAACATATGCAGAAAAGAATGTACTCCTGATGCACCAAAGAAAACATACCACAGTGAAAAATTATGAATGCGTTAATTGTTCCCAAGTGTTCGATTCATACATCACAGCTGCACAACACTGGATGAAAAAATGCACAGAGTATGTGAGTCTATTTTATTTGCCGAAATTCACTTTCTGTGAATATTGCAACAGAACCTTCAAGTCCCATGAATTACTTTACACACATAAAATAAAAAAGAAACACTATACCCCAAAATTCCATGAATCATGCGATCTAGAAACTGATATTGACAGTAGCATCAAAGAAAAATCCGTGGACAATAAGGAAATTTTGAACAAACTTATAGAAGATGTCTTGAAAACGCTTGATGTTCCAATTACCAAACTATCCAATACTTACACTTCAAGCATTCAAATCAATAACAACAATCAGCCCATAATCGATATTGCTAAAATCAAGATGGAAAATGAAGAATGTGAAAGTAGTCACAGCTTTGAACTGACTGAAAAAAGGAGGCGCGGTAGAAAAAGAAAATACCCCAATAAGAACCAAATGCCAAAACTCGGGAAACTCAACTATGAAATAGAAGAGGGATATAAATATCAATGTGAACGATGTGTCAAAGTTTTCGAAAATATCAGCAATCTTGAGAAGCACCGTGATAAAGAACATGCAGCCAATTTCACGTGTGAGGACTGTGGACAAGTGAGCTTCTTTAGTCTATGTTTATATTGCTTTTATTCCGGAACAAAAATTATAAAAGAACTTCTACAGGGTGTCGAAGTTTTATCGGTCTATTTTTTGCACAGAACCTCGCGGTCCTCATTACCATGCACAGATCCTTTTTCCATATCCCATCAGCTCCCACCATTGCGATTTCATGAGAAATGTAACCTAGCTATACAGGGGTGTTTCAGAAAATCTATTTCAATTGACTTTCATTTTTATCTCTTCTACCTTACGAAATCTATATATTTTGTGATCAATATATTACAAATAAGGCATTCACGAGGAGAGATGAAAAAACGATCTGTATGTTTGGCTTTATATTCATGTAATTCTTTCAACTTCCTATATCCCAGGCAACCAGGTGACGAATGATCACGTCACTGTGACGTCCTTAATTGGTGATTTTTCGTCAGAGACGTCACACACCAATTTATGACGTCACTATGACGTACTTTCTATGACGTGATAATCACGTCATCGTTTCGACGTCGAGTGAACGTCACTTAGAAGGGTAAAAGAAGACGTCAGTTTTATGACGTTGCAGAGGGACGTCCTGTCGACGTCCATTTTTCCCAGACCTTCTCTAAATCATGGATACTTATATGTTATCATGTGAAACAGAAGTATAACTCATGAAAGCAAATCAACATGCAAGTTTTATTGGCATTATTAATATATCCCAAAAGTAGGAAAAAACTTTTTTCTAAAAAACTTTGACACACTGTATATCTCGGAAACCAAAAAGCTATGTATGTATACAAATGATTGTTTAAGTATACCTATATCTTGAAACCGTTACTCTTATGACGTTGCAGTGACGTATCTATGACGTCTAAAAATCACGTTGGTGTGACGTACCAATTTGGTAAGCTTCGTCATTCAGGAAATTTTTCAATAATTTGCTATTCAGATCTCGCTTCAATAACATTATGGTTACAAGATCATAAATTGACACTCAATTTCGATAAATCTTCTTTTATGTTCATCTCGAAAAGAGTTATACCTGATAACCAAATAGATCCGTTAAAATTCGGGAATTTTTGTATAAATCCTACAAAAAACTCCAAACTCTTAGGTTATAGACCAGACTCTATCTTGGTCATCGCATATTCAATTGCTCAGGAAAAAAATATCTCCCATTATTGGTATATTATACAAATTGAGGTCTTTCATACCTCTTAAATACTTGAAATTAATTTATTTCAGTTTGATTTACTCTAAATTGCAGTATCTGATATCGATCTGGGGTACTGCAGCAAAATCTGTTTTGAAACCTCTGAAATCTCTTCAAAATAAAGCCATAAAATGTATTTATAAACTACCATTTCTGGAATCAACATCTAGACTATACAAACCAAGAGATCTACTAGATATTGACTCTCTCTTCAAAATGAAAGTATGCATTTTCATTCATTTCACTAAAAATAAGAAAAAGCACTCGAATCTTACTTTCAAAATAAATTCCGATACCCATGAGCATCACACCAGACAAAGTGAAAATTTGAAAACTGTTAAAATAAAAACCCAATTCGGGAAAAAAACATTGTATTTTTGTGGAATAAATATTTATAATAGTCTACCCAACAGAATAAAATCTATTAGATTCGTCACAAAATTTAAGTGTGAACTGAAGAAATATATTTTATCAATTTAACTCTCCCCTTGTATCAATTAATTCTGATTGAACTGTTTATCTTTCATTGTATTGCATATTTGATTTTTTTTTTGTTTCCCTCTATAAACATTGTATGTTTCTTGGGGTCAATAAATGTTATTATTATTATTATTATTATTAAATTAGCCAACATCCTTTCCATTGCTATCAAACTATTCTTTGTTTGCTCACCTCTCGCCGACACAAACTACATAATTTTTGATACTAATACGAGTAACTGATTGCATTCTGATGGAGATGCGTACTGAAGGATAGCGCTGCTGAATAGGCGATTGAATGAACATGACACAGGAGGGACCTAACGAGGGACCTACCAAGCAGACTCAACAATGCATAATCAATATTATTTAATGTCATCAGAGGCCAGTGGTGTTTATCACACCATGTTAAAGGAATCTCTTTTACGTATCATCGCCAAATTTAATCGTCATTTTGACGTCATTATTACGTCAGTCGGACGTCACAGTTTGGTGAGTGAATGACGTCAATACGAAGTGAGTAATATGACGTCATTGGGCTGTGACTTATTCACGTCATTATCACGTCATGCGACGTCACTGGAACGTCATCTGGTTGCCTGGGATATTATTTATATTTCAAGAAAATCATCATTTTTGAGCACTATGGACTTCTACACACGGTTAAAATCATGTCATCTTTAAAGTTAATTAACCCAGGTATCATCTCTAGGTTCTCCAGAGTGCCAAAGCATTGTTGATCCATAGTCGTGCTCACAAATGTTTGAAACCCTATGTGTGTGAAACATGCGGACGAAGTTACTCCCAGACTTCTCACCTGTGGCAACACATGAGGTTTCATCAAGGTGGGTATCAAAATCCTTGCGGCAGCATAACTTCATTTTTTCAATAATTAATAAATAAACCCCTTGTATAAATCAGAACATTTTTATTAGTTTTACCTACGGCCACTATAGAAAGTACGCAAGAACACACGAGATACAGCCTCAGTAAGTAGCTCTTTACGCACAGTAAGCACATCGCACAGTTTTCGTTTATTCCGCCAGTATAGGTATGTCATGATCGCGTAATCGCCGTCAACAGCGGATGACATAACTGTCAAGAATTATAATTCAGACTGTTTGTCCAAACTTTTTTGATGTACTATACAGGGTGGCCCACGGTCGATGGTACCTTAGACTTATACGGAAAACGGTACATTGGATTATCCTGAAAATTTGCTTGCTCTAATAAGCGTTTGTAATCTAACGATTCAAAATATTTTCAGCGAAGCAGCGTTGCCACTTTTACCAAAAAGTAGCATCATCTTTGTTATTTCAAATGGAACACCCTGTATTTTATTGCGTTTTTAGATTCTTCTCGAAGAGCTGATTTTATCAATGCATCACACTTGGGGTCTAGCAGGAATTGTTACAGAGATATAGGGTGTTCAAAATCGAGATTTTTCAACTTTAGGATTTTTTTGTGTGGAAACTATTCATCATTGGTCAAAACGGCTTACATTTCCCTTCATTAACTTTTGATTAACTATCTACCGACATTTAATTGGATAAAATACAGGATGGTCCAAGATTCAGAATTTTGATCTCCTTGTATCTGTTCCAATTAAATGTCAGTAGATAGTGAATCAAAAGTTAAGATAGGGACATGTAAGCCGTTTTGATCGATAATGAATAGTTTCGACACAAAAAAATCCTTAAATTGAAAAATCTCGATTTTGAACACCCTATATCTCTGTAATAATTCCTGCTAGACCCCAAGTGTGATGCATTGATAAAATCAGCTCTTCGAGAAGAATCTAAAAACGCAATAAAATACAGGGTGTTCCATTTGAAATAACAAAGATGATGCTACTTTTTGGTAAAAGTGGCAACGCTGCTTCGCTGAAAATATTTTGAATCGTTAGATCACAAACGCTTATTAGAGTAACCAAATTTTCAGGATAATCCAATGTACCGTTTTCCGTATACGTCTAAGGTACCATCGACCGTGGGCCACCCTGTATATGGCAGTAGGTAAAAGTATAGTACGAAATGCGTGTTGTAAAGCAATGGAATTTTTCAATTCCATCCGTGCGTAATATGCTTTCTTACAACACATATTAAGTAATATACTATTATATGGATTTTTACAATGTATGAGTTTTGTTTTACATCGTTCTGAAGACCAAATCAGATAGATGACGTCCTATATTCGCAATCACCAGATTTCTGGCGTTTGTCATGACTCTTGCCAGAATAGAGGCGTTAAGTTGGCAATTTCTTCCTGGATGTTATTCTTCAAATCTTGTAGGGTCTTTGATGGACGCGAGGATGGACGGTTCACATATAACACGTGATTTCAAAAAACCCCATAGAAACAATTGTGAATTGACTCGGCCGTTACTTGATGGTAATCCTTATAGTGAATGTAAAAAACTTCACAAACGATAAGATTTCCACAAACGAGGGCCTACCAGATTCGAATGCCCGGGGACTTCACCTATCTCATTTGATCTTCCAAACTATGTAAGACAAAACGTCAAATTTGAGCCTAGATTATAAATAACAAATAAAAATGTTCCGATATATACAATATGGGTTTTATTAAGTTTTAAAAAAAGAAAGTTATGCTGCCGCACCCGTACAATCGGAATCTCTTCATCTATTTTTCATGGTCTAGGAATAAAACCATTCGCTTGTCCTCATGAAGGCTGTGAGGCGAGATACACCATAAGGCCTGACTTGAAGGATCACATAAGAAAAGTGCATACCCGAGAGAGGCCTTTCAAGTGCAACGTTTGTGACAAATGCTTCTTGACTGGGTCTGTATATTACCAGCATCGATTGATACATACCAATGATAGGAGATATGCTTGTGATGTAAGTTGGTTCAGATAAAGGGATCAAGCAGAAAATCTCTAGGAGAGGAGAAAGTGACAGTAGACTGGCCAAAACTATTAAAAATCAGAACTTTCATATAGCATATAGAAATTAGTGAAATTTGGTATAAATTCAACAGGATGTCATTGAAGGGCATGCAAAATTTTCATTTCACAGTCGATATGCACTCACCAGCAAAAAAATCGGCCACAAAAACTTAACCCTAATTGATCGCCTCTTGTAATATTTAAAAATTCTCGTCCGATTTTGATGGATTTTCGACCAAATCAGAATGTTAGCGTAAATTTTAATTCTCAAGAAAACCTGATGGGTTGATCATTATACAAGAAAAAAATTATTCTTTCATCCTTAACTCCTTAACGCCCTGTGGCAAAAATGAGTAGTTAAACTCAACTTCATTTCATTTTGGATTGGAGTGTGATCTCTTCTGAACACATTAGTTCATAATTCTCGTCAATATCTTCTTCTGAAAAGAAGATACAAGTGTTTTGAGAAAGTATGAATTTGTTTTAACAATAATTCAGACCCTACATGAACTTATATCGAATAACATCTTGAAAAAGCTTCGAAAAATTGATCGTTTATTACAACCCCCGTTTTTTAAGCACCGACAAAAATCCTCAGAAGCAGACCTCTTAAATGTAGTCAATAACGAGTATGGCCTCCTCGAGCTTGAATTACATCAGCATTCTCTCTAGCTGTCTTCAGAAATTGCTCCAAATTCTTCTTGAAGGGCAAGGAAAGGCCGGATGAAGACGATTACGCCTCTGGAGTTCATTTCAAAGATGCTCTATAGGTTATGACTTAAAATTAAAAATCCCATACTTTCTTAAAATACTTGTATCTTCTCTTAAAGATAAGATATCGACGTGAATTAAAAATCATTGTGTTAAGAAGTGATCACACTTCAGTCGAAAACATAATGAAGCTAAGTTTAAGCACTCATGTACTATTACCACAGGGCGTCAAGAAGTTAACGGTGAAAAGGTAACTTCTGTTTTTTCCTATATTATAATGATCTAGCCATTAGCTTTCCTTGGGAACCAAAATGCATGTTAACATTCCTAAACATTAATATACGATGTGGCCGAAATTTCACCAGAATTGGAGAATTCAAAAAGTTACAGGGCGATCAATTTGGAGGAGGAACTCTCATTTATCATCTACAAGATTTTTTGTTTGATTTTTTATGTTAGCTATGTTCATGAAATTCACACTTATATTCACTTACATTATTTTGTCTTTGCAGTTGTGTCCCAAGAGGTTCTTTCGTGCTGATGCCCTCAATAATCACCGAAGAATTCACACAGATGAGCGCCCCTATCCATGTCATGTCTGTGGAAGAGAGTTTAGGCAAAAAGGGGATAGAAATAAACATATCAGGACTCAGCACCCTGATACCATGCTTATGATTTGAATGATTTGAATGTAGCTTTGGGTATTATTTATTATTGTTGATGATAATTATTGAAATTATGGACGAATTGTTATGCTAATGGATGCTTGATATCCATCATAACCATTATAATTACTGAAAAAGTGCAATGAGTTTGAAGAATCATACTTACTTACATTTATCTCATCATTTGTCACATACATCAGTGTACCCAGGATTCACTTCTGGGAGTGTGTTATTATTAATATTTTATTGAATTGAAAAATGCTAGGAAGTACCTACTTGATCATTTAAATCTTGCGAAAGGGTTTGAACCACCAACATAATGTAGATATTATCTCTAGACCACTAAAACCATTGGACCATAAGATGAAAGTTCATCCAATTATGGATTGAATTTTGGACCCATCAGCCTCAGAGTATGTGTATTTTATTTCCTGTCATATATCATATACCCCCTCTTACTAATGTTCCTAAACATCAAGTACCAAAGTGACATATACAGGGTGTTTCACAGGTAAAGGGAAATATTTCAATGGTAGATAGGGGTCACCAAGGTGGTTCTGAAAATACCATATTTGATAGGTCTTAGAGTTTTCATAACGGAGATACAGGGCGATTTATCGATTTCGAATAATTATTCATTCGTCTATAAGTATTGAACTACCCAGTATATTTTTCTAGAATTTGGTATGGAGCTTAAACTTGGGACGTTGAATGCATTCACCTATCGGGCGAAGTGAAAATCCAGGTTCGGTTCAGGAAAAATTTACATTTATTCGAAATATTAAAATAACACACTGTATGTAATAATTGACAAAGTTCATCAAAGGAATCGTGAAGAGGAGGAAAAACTGAACTGGATCTAATGCTTTTTGTTTTCCCGCCACCAATTCTCATCGTAACAATCATAAACAGGAAGCTAAAAGTATGTCAATTTCAAGAGTATTAAAATTATGAAACCACTTTCAATTATGATTATTTGATATATTCTTGTTAAATGATCGTTCGAAAGAACTTACTTAGTCTCACAGTCTTTATAACAGAAATACAGGGTGAATTATCACTCGTCCATAAGTATTAAACTATCCATCGCAGTAATATTTTCTCAAATTTGGTATTGAGCTTACTTGGGACGATGGATTCATTGACCTATCAGGCAGAATGGAAATACAGGTTCAGCTTCAGGAAAAGTCTCATAGTCTTTATAACAGAGATACAGGGTGAATTATCGAATTATAATTCCGCCTGATAGGTTAATGGATCCGTCCAGTAAGCTACATACCATATTTGAAAAAATGTTATTGGGTAGTTTTATACTAATGGACGAGTGAATAATTATTCAAAACCGATAATTCACCCTGTATCTCCGTTATAAAAACTGTGAGACTTAGTAAGTTCTTTCGAGTGATTTTTTGACAAAAATATATCGAATAATCATAATTGACACTGGTTTCATAATTTCACTCTTCAAATTGACATACTTTCAGCTTTCTGTTTATGATTGTTACGATGAGAATTGGTGGCGGGAAAACAAGAAGCATCAAATCCAGTTCAGTTTTTCCTCCTCTTCACGATTCCTTTGATGAACTCTGTCAATTATTACATACAGTGTGTTATTTTAATATTTTGAATAAATGTGAATTTTTCCTGAAGCCGAACCTGGATTTTCTCTTCGCCCGATAGGTGAATGAATTCAACGTCCCAAGTTTAAGCTCCATACCAAATTTTAGAAAAATATACTGGGTAGTTCAATACTTATAGACGAATGAATAATTATTCGAAATCGATAAATCGCCCTGTATCTCCGTTATGAAAACTCCAAGACCTATCGAATATGGTATTTTCAGAACCACCTTGGTGACCCCTATCTACCATTGAAATATTTCCCTTTACCTGTGAAACACCCTGTATAAAGTTTCGTCGTCAGGGGTTCAATTTGAATGAAGTTTTTGGGGGCATGGTTTGTATTTGTATACATAAGAAAGTGTTTGGGATCACACGTTAAAAGGTAAGGCCCCCGTCATTCCTTGCTCGCACAAGACTTTCGAAGACTTCTGAGGGTTGCTCGTAAGGGGGCAACCGAATGATGGATAAGAACAATTTTAGAACAATTTTCAGAACAATTGACATATTCTACACGTCTAGAATATTTTACACGATGCGGCGTTGCCACTTCTACTAGAAAGTAGCAGCAACTTTGATTTTTCAAACGGAATTCATGCACTTTTATATTTTTCCTGAAGAGCTGATTTCTTCAATGTATCACACTTGGGGTCTTGCGGGGATGATTACAGAGATATAGAGTGTTCAAAGTCGAAATTTTTCAACTATTCATAAATGGTCAAAACGGCTTTCATGTCTCTATCTTAACTTTTGATTAACTATCTACTGATATTCAAATGGAACAATTACAGAGTGGTTCAAGATTCGGAATTCTGATCACCCTGTATCTGTTCCAATTGAATGTCAGTAGATAGTTAATCAGATAGGGACATGAAAGCCGTTTCGACCGATAATGAATGGTTTCGTTACAAAAGAATCCTAGAATTGTAAAATCTCGATTTTGAACACCCCATAATTGTAGTCATTCGCGCTAGCCCGTAAATCAAAAGGTAAGATAGGGACATTGAAGACGTTCTGACTCATAATGTATAGTTTCGACACAAAAAATCCTAGAGTTGAAAAGTTTCAATTTAGAACACCCTTTATCTCTGTAATCGTTCTCGCTAGACCACAAGTTTAGCGTGATACATTTATGAAATCAGCACCAGAGGAAGAATTTAAAAATGCAATGAAATACAGGGTGTTTCATTTGTAAATGATAGTTGTTACTTTCTAGTAGAAGCGGCAACGCCGAATTGTTTAAAATATTTCAGACATGTAGATAATGTCAATTTATACATACCATGAGATTTTCAGATTCATCAGTTGCTTGGTTTCCCAGAAAATTCTAACTAACGCTCATCGTGAAAAACCCTGTATACTATTTCGCGATATTCACTAGGATATATACACCGTGTCCCAGCTGAAATGCCCCCCCGTAAAAAATCAACCGCGCGATCGAATGACTTTTAATTTGGTCACCCAGTATATTTGATGATGCTCACTCGAAATATGCTATGGAATGAATCGTAGGTATACAGGGTCAAACCGAAGTGCACCTATTTGAATAGGGACACCCAGTATATTATTCCATATTCAAGTAGGGTTCATTATTACAAATTCAACAATGCCGAGTTTGATGGGATTTTTTCAAACGACTACGAAGATATGGCAAAAAATAAAACGATTCAATAAAAAATGTATGATTAGATTTTATTAATATAACACGATTGGAATCGAATGAAAAGAAAATAATCAAAACCTCAACTGCTCAATATGCGTCTTTTCTGCTGCAAACATTTCCTAGCTCTTTTGATAACGTTCATTGTGACCCTATTTATCAAGTTGCGATCAATTTGTGCGCATAAATTCGTGATTTTCTCTTTAATTTCTTCCATATTCACAATTGGCGACTCATAAACCTGTTGTTTCAAGTAGCCCCGCAAATAAAAATCAAGTGGGGTGAGGTCTAGCGACCGAGCTGGCCAGTTGCTATCACTATCGAGACAATTGGTGGTTATTAGATGTTCTCCGAACCGATGGCGAAGATAGTCCTTTACGGATCTGTAGATATGTGCAGGACACCCATCTTGTTGGAAGAATATGTATTCTTGTTGAGGTTTCAATCATTTTCTTTTCATATATTCGATATCGATAAAAATCCAATCATATAAATTTTTTATTGAATAGTTTTATTTTTTGCCACATCTTCGTAGTCGTTTGAATAAATCCCATCATTCCCGGCATTGTTGAATTTGTAATAATGAACTCTACTTGAATATGGAATAATATACTGGGTGTCCCCCTTTTCAAATAGGAAAGTTTAGGTGCACTTCGGTGTGACCCTGTATACCTACGATTTATTCAATAGCATATTTCGATTGAGCATCATCAAATATACTGGGTGACCAAATTTCAAGTCATTCGATCGCGCCGTTGACTTTTTACGGGGGAGAGGAGACACGGTGTATATCTTCTTTAAAACAAATTTTGGGCTATTAGTTTATTCATCAAACTATACTTATTTTTCAATGTACTGTCACCTTCAGAAAGCTGGGTACACCTTTTTGGACTCACCCTGTATATGCATGTAGAAGCACGTTTTATAATATAGGTATGACATACAAGGTTGAGATATTTATTTAAACATGATGTAGAACTTATCAAAATGAGATAGGAATTAAGAAATCGTCTATAGTAGAAAAATTATAGTGTATAAATCGCACGGAATGCTAATTTCCCACTCGAATGATTGCAAACTTCATCATCGTGGGATATCACTATCATTCCGTGCTCGTTAAACAATATACTATTTCTTAATTTTTTGAGAACAAAACTAGAAACACGTTGAATATGATTAGTTGAACAGTTTTAATGACATTTCTTATACAGCTTTAACTTTGGTACTATCACGAGCCTGAATGGTTTTCTTCATAACATCATAAATCCGAGGAGTTGCTGCTGAAGAAGATTCCAATTCTATCTGAAAATGTATGTTTGATTCGGTGAATGTCATCTTCACAAAAATCTAGATACTATATAATATCACTATACCGGTCAAAATGGTAATGGAATTCATCTTATGAATATGTCTATAAACCAAACCGATTTTTCAAACGCCTCGACACGTGTTTCGCTAACTATGTTAGCATCTTCAGGAGAAGATTAAAACTGTTTTACAGGCCGCCAGATAGCCCTAATACACATTACCGGCGATTGAATTATTGACTTAGAAGTGCTACAGCGGCAACAAATTTCAATGCACCATTGATGGGAGCGCTCAGCCATCAACGTATATGTCAATCAATCAATCAATCAATCAATCAAAAATATACTTTATTGTCAAAGAAACACATTCTTGTTGACAAAGCATGATAAATAAATGAATACAATAAATGAAGTGAATGTAAAAATTAAATGAAATAAAATTTAGTGAAACATAGTCACTTCGCGGAACTCTCATGTACCTATTTAAGAGATGGTTTGTTTGTGTATCGCTTCCTTCAAAGTTGAAATCCCAAGTCTGAACTCTGAACTTGTGCGTAGTTGAGAAGTGCGGGACCTCTACAATTTATAAG